GGGGCGGGCTGGCGCTGTCACCGCTGCACCACCGGCCGGACAGTGTGCGTGTTTGGGACGTCACGCCATCGCACACTTGCAGACGACAGCGTAGTGTAAACACGTCTATAGGGACACGCCGAGTTCACGTGGCTCTCTGTATTGCATGTGCGCTTCACGGCTGTGATCTGGACCCAAACCTGAAACACCCCAATCACTCACTCCCTGCCCTCCCCCGCCCGTCGCCCACCATCTGCTTCCTGTCTCCATGGAGCTGACCCCTCTGAGCGGGTCACACAGGGTCTGTCCCTCTGGGTCTGGCAGGCGTCAGGGTCCCTTCCTCTTCGAGGTCCAGTGCTCGACGGTGCAGCCGTCAGGACTCGCGGCTCCGGCCGTCCCTGTCCTGACCTGAGCGTGGCTGCCCTCGTCCCCAGCCTCGTCACCGCGTCCCCGTGCAGGCGCAGGAGGGGCTGGGCACGTCCCGGTGGGGCTCACCCACGTGTCAGCCCCGCTTTCAGGGCTGCCCCTGGCATCCGTGAAGGGCAGAGGCCTGTGTGCGGGGAGACAGTACGAGAAATGCCATCCACGCGCCCAGTGAGCCGAGGGGCGCTCACATCCTCAGTGAGAACCCAGGGCCCTTTTCGTAAAGTGACAGCAAAGTGAGAACACGGGCCTTAAAGATAGGACAGCAGCCCGGCCGGCGGGGCTCAGGGGTTGAGCGTTGACCTGTGAACCAGGAAGTCGGGGTTTGATTCCCGGTCGGGGCACAGGCCCGGGTTGTGGGCTCCATCCCCAGTGTGGGGCGTGCAGGAGGCAGCTGATCAGTGACTCTCTCTCATCACTGATGTTTCTAGCTCTCTCTTCCCTCTCCCTTCCCCTCTGAAATCAAGAAAAAAACTATTTTTTTTTAAAGTGTCAAAACGCGTGGAACCAGATCCCTCCGTCACAAACGAAAAGAAGTGAGGCCCCTCCCCCGCACGTCCCTGCCCGCGGGCCTTTGGGTGGACGCCCCCGGCACGCGAGGGAGTGGCCGCCTGGAGGTGCTGCGTTTGGACCCCTCACGATCCGTTAGCTCTTGTGATGTCCACCCTCACTATCCGTTAGCTCCTGTGATGTCCGCCCTCACTATCCGTTACGGTAGCTCCCGGGTGCGCACCGTCCGCCCTCACTATCCGTTAGCTCCTGTGATGTCCACCCTCACTATCCGTTATGGTAGCTCCCGGGTGCGCACCGTCCGCCCTCACTATCCGTTAGCTCCTGTGATGTCCGCCCTCACTATCCATTATGGTAGCTCCCGGGCGCGCACCGTCCGCCCTCACTATCCGTTAGCTCCACCCTCACTGATTTCGTCCGGCTGTGCTGTCAGCCTGCGGAAGGGCCATGACCTTCCCCCGGGAAGAAGCAAAGGAGCCATGAGGCTCAAGGACCCAGGCTGGGGGGGTGGTGGGGGGAGCCGAGGGTCCAGGGGTAAGTGGTGATGGGAGGAGGCTTGACTTGGGGTGAACACACAGTGCGACATGCAGAGGACGTACGTGGAACTGCACACCCGAAACCTATATAACTTTATCAACCAATGTCACCCCGATAAATTCAGTTAAAAATAAATTTAAAAGCCACAACCTTCTGCCCTGGCCGGTGTTGCTCAGTGGGTAGCGCGCCGGCCCACAGACTGAAGGGTCCGGTTTGATTGGGTCAGGGGCACCTGCCGTGGCTGCAGGCTCGATCCCCGGCCCCAGCCGGGACCCGTAGGGGCGGCAACAACGGATGTGTCTCGCTCACCTCGAGGTCTCTCTCTGTCTCTCCCCACTTCCACTCTAAACAGCAGTGCAGAGTGTCTCAGGGGAGGGTTAACCGCACAGCAGAAGCTGCTGCCGCTTCCCTTTAACCCAGCGGTTCTCAACCTGTGGGTCGCGACCCCTTTGGGGGTCGAACGGCCCTTCCACGGGGGTCGCCTAAGACCATCGGAAAACACATCTATAATTACGTATTGTTTTTGTGATGAATCACTATGCTTTAATGATGTTCAATGTGTAACAATGACATTGGGGGTCCCCACCACATGGGGAGCTGTGTTAAAGGGCCGCGGCGTGAGGAAGGTTGAGAACCGCGGCTCTAACCCTAGCAAAGCCTGCTGTGTGGCTGAGCTGACGCCTCGGGGCCTCGTCGTAGCTGGGACGGACAGGCCGTCTTCCTGGTCACACCCTTTCCCTGAGGTCTATTAAAAACCAGAGGCCGGTGCATGGCACTCACACACTGGGGGGGGGGGGGGGGGGCGGGGGGGTCCCCCTCAGAGCTTCCGGGCACCGTGTTTGAGGTGCGGGCGGGGGTGCATTTTGTCCAGACTTCAGTGTTCTTACCTGCACAGGTTAGTCCTGTGAGCTTATCTGACCTGCCCCTCCAACCGCAACCTTACACCCAGCCAGACGACCATGTAAGTTTGCAGATAAAGCCATTCGAACAGACAATGCCGGGGGGGCGGGGGGGGGGCTCCCAAACTCCTTTATTGAGACGCTGCTGGAGAATGCCCTCTCCCACAAATGAGGTTTTTGAAAAATAAATGCATGAGGTCAAGGGTTCAAGAGATGCAACACAAAGGCTGGGAAGGAATCCGAGGGGGACAGTGATGGGGACACGGGCCTGGGGACCGCCCTGGGACGCCGTCCGGAGCAGAGGCGGCTTCTGGAGCAACTTCCTCGCCAAGACAAGCAGCAGCCCTGGCGGCGGCCCCGTGGGCTGGAGCCGCATCCCCCCGTTCACCAAAGGTGCAGGTTCAGTGCCCGGTCGGTCGGGGCGCACACCCAGGCTGTGGGCGATCCCCTGTCAGGGTGCGTGCAGGAGCCAGCCGACTGATGTTCCTCTCTCTCTCTCTCTCTCTCTCTCTCTCTCTCTTTAACTCAATAGAAGTACCCTCGGGCGAGGATTTCTTTAGTAAAGAAGACAGCCACATACCCAGTGTAGTTAAAGATTTGGAGAAGAGATTGACATAGCTGGGAAGCGTTTGGATTTGAATTTGTTAAGCGCGTAGAAAATTAAACCAATAAACAAATTACCTCGCTCCAGAGAACACGGTGTGTACGGGAGAAGGCACGGGAGCCGCGGCACATCGTGTCGTTAACCTACGAGGAGCTGTTACTCAGCCGCGACGTAGAACCCGGAACGTTGCTCTCGTTAAAGTTATAACTGTAACTGGAAGAGGAAAGCCCTGGGAAGTGGGGGAAGGGGGGGCGGAGGGGATGGAAGGAAGAAAGCTAACCTGGCGACTGACCTCCCGGAGGACACCTGGCGATCCCGCGTTGTCACGCGTGTGGGGGGAGGGGTGTGGCTGGCACCCAGTGGGCAGAACCCAGGGACCCTGCTGGACACCCTGTAAGCACAGCCCAGCCAAGCGCCCGCGGTCCCGGTGGCAGCCTGCCCACCGAGAAGCGCTGAGCTCACCCCTCCCCACAGTGGGGCGACCGCAGGCGATTCCCAAAACTCAACCACCAAGGGAGCGGCCACAGGCCGGGGTTCGGAGAGGCGGGACAGACGCGGAAGGCGGGCTGCGTCTCGGGAGGGGCGGGGGCGGTGGAGGTCCTGCTGGTGTGTGACGAGCCGTGGAACTGTCTCTAGACCGGGTGCACGCTGGACGTTTGAAATGAGAGTTTCCGCGGAGGAGGGGGCGGGTGGAAGTGCAGGCCTGCGTGGAGGGAGGCTGGCATCTCCGTCCTCAGATGCTCCTGGGGCCGGGTGGGCGCGGCGTGGTTCCTGCCCTCGCCCCGTGCGGCCGGAGCCGGCACCCGGAACCCCGAACTGGAACTGGGTTCTCTCTGAAACCCCCTGCGCCTCACTGCCTGGCTCCGCAGGGCTGCGTGAGGCACACAGCGCCCCCTGGAGGCAGCGAGCCGGGGTCGCCGGCCCAGGCTTCCCGAGGGCACGGGACCCCACGGAGGCCCGCGATGCCAGCCTGGGCGCTGAGGCTCCGCGAGCGCTTTATCTCACCCAGTGGTTCTCAGCCGTGGCTGCACATTAGAATCACATCAGGCCCAGAAATCAGGATTTAAAGGTTCCCAGGTGATTCTAATGTGCAGCCAAGGTTGAGAACTTCTGCTCTAACCCGTCTCGGGGTCCATCCCGCACCGGCGGTTTTGAGCGTCTGAGCTGAAGGCTGGGTTTGCCGAGAGGTGGGGGAGTCACGCAGGGCGCAGCGCGTGCCGCTCGCCCCCACCACGCGGGGAGGAGTGTGGAGCTGAGCGTCCCGTCCTGGTCCTGTGTGTTCCTGTGGGCACGGTGTCCCCTGGCCCCTTTGCCTGCCCCTCTCGTGGGAGGGTGTTTATAAGCATCGAGCACGTGCCCCTTGGCACCTCTGCCCGTCCTGCCACGCGCTCCTGGCACCCAGGCCGCGGGTCCGTGGAGCCCACACGGTCCACTGGCACGTCTTGCTTTGGGGGAGGGACTCCATGAAGCTTCTTTACTTTGTGAAGCAGGAGGATGTAAGACGGGTGTGAACGTGGGGGCGGCGGGCTCTGTGCAGGCTGCCGCCGCCATTCTGCCCAGAGCAGCGGGCACACGTGTCTTCACGGGCAGGGAGGCAGCTGGGACGGGGACTCATGTTCGCCATGGGTGGGGGGGGTGGATACACGCAGAACCCCCCAGCCCAGCTTCCCTCGGGGAGGAGGGCGGCCGGAGGAAGTGGGCATGTTCCTGGGATGCGTGTTCCCAACACGCCTGGGAAGCAAGTACGTGTCCTGTCTGCTCTGAGCCATGAAAACGCAGAGTGTGGCACCACATGCGTCTCGGGCCTTCCGCGCCCCGGCAGCCAGGAAACGGCTCCCGGCAGCCCCGTGAGCGCCTCAGCGCGGATCAGAGAGCCCAGTGGGCGCTGCCGGGGGGAGGGCGCTGGCCGGAGGAACCGGCCCCAGCTCCCGGCCCCTAACCGTTCCCCCGCCCCGCGTCCCCCCGAGAGCACCTCTGGTTCCGACACAGCAGGGCAGCCCGTCCCGCCTCAGGCCACTCCTCTCACAGCCCCTGCCGTGTCCCCACAGGTGAACAGCGAGAACGTGGTGAAGGTCGGGCACCGGCAGGTGGTGAACATGATCCGCCAGGGAGGGAACCACCTGGTCCTCAAGGTGGTCACGGTCACCAGGAGCCTCGACCCCGACGACACCGCCAGGAAGAAAGGTGGGTGCCCTCTGCGCCTCCCCCGCTGTCACCCTGAGAGCCCAGCCGCGGGAGGGGGCACCTCCAGCTGTGTCCCACCTGCTCTGGAGCCGGCAGAGCGGCCGGGAGTGAGGGGGTGAGGAGAGCTGCTTGGGGGGCGCCAGGGGGCCACCTCCCAGTCTTTCCTCAAAAGGAGGCTGGGAGGGGGCATGGGCGCCCGAGGCCCATCCCTGCGGAGGAACGAGGAGAACCCCCAGCGGCTGGTGGGGGCAGCCAAGCGCACAGGCTGCGGAACCACCAGGGCCCCTTAGTCACCGGCAGGCACAGCACCTCCCATCCCAGCCGGGCAGCCGGCCGCCGGGCCCACACCGACAGGAGGGCAGGGCCCCGAGTGCCCGGGCTGCTGGGGCGAGTGCAGAGGGGCGGGGCTGGCCGTCCCCGACTGAGGGGCGGGGAGTGGCCTCGTTGATTTCAGAGGGAGACCGAGGCTGGGCAGCCACCTCCCGGTGGGTCCGGAAGGCGGGTGGGGTGGCAGCCTCGCCGCCCCCCGGGTGGCTCTCACGCCTCGGTCTCTCCTGTCCGCCCCCCAGCACCCCCGCCTCCCAAGCGTGCTCCGACCACGGCCCTCACGCTGCGCTCCAAGTCCATGACCTCGGAGCTGGAGGAGCTCGGTAAGCGCCGTCGGGCGCCCCGCCCCGTGCCCTGCGCCCACCCGCCCGCATGGCCCTGTGCTCGCTGGCTTGCCCCCGCCCGGCCCCATGCTGGCGCTGGCTTCTCCATCGCGCCTGCAGGCTTCGGGGTGGGGTCGCTGGTTGTGCCTCTTCTTGGCTCGTCTAACGTTGTTTTGTTTTGAATTTTTGGGCCTCTCACCAGTGGATAAAGGTAAGCTGCCCACCGTGTCTGCACGAAGCCCGCAGGCCCTCCAGGCAGGGCTCCCACCAGCAGCTCCGTCCTGGGGGGTCCCTGTAGGTGGCGGTGGGGTGGCCTCCAGGTGCGCTGCCACCGGGTTTAGGGAGCCTCTGGCGCCTGCGTCAGAGGCCTGTCACCAGGCGGGAAGGTGCGCAGAGCAGCGTGGCCCTGGGCCGGGCGGACGGTGCTGACGGCTGAGACGCGGGCGCCCTGGGGCTGGTAGATGCCAGTCCTGCTGGGGCATCGCCACGCAGCCCGAGACACCTTGGCGAGGAGGACAGTGACGTGACCCCCACAGGTGGTGGGCGGGGGAGGTGCTCGCTCTGCTGAGAGGGAAGAGGTGGCGGAGGGAGGGCGGGTGCCCTGAGCCCGGCCAGGGGTGGGAGTCTGAGCACCCAGCCAGCATCTGCCTGGGGCTCGCTCCCCTGGTCCCTGCCTCCGGGGGGGACTTGTCCCTCCTCCCTCACCTCCAGGCAGCGCCCCTGGGAGGGTCTCAGCCACCTCGTCCGTGGGGGGCACGGCCGCACCCCTCATGCCCCCGTGTTCCAGGAAGGTGCTGGCACCCACCACCCCACCCAGAGCCAGTGCTTCCCCGAAGGCCCCTCCCCCACCCCGTCCATCAGACAAGACTCCCCAGAAACAGCCGCTGTCCCCGTGTGGCACCCAGTGGGGTGACTGTGTAAACGACAGCCTGTCTCCTCTGACGCGCCAGCCCCCCCGAGAGGGACCAGCAGGCAGCTCCCCCTTAAAGGGGGACTTGGGGGCAGCTGGACCAGTGGGGCTCACCACCCTTGGGCCTCTCCCCAGCAGGGACCTGGGGTGTCCCGCATGGTCGGGGGTCACCCTTCTCCCCGCACTGGCCCTGGCGGAGCGCTCCATGGGGTGGGGGCAGGGGCGGGAGGGGCTTGGGGGAGGGTAGGTGCTGGGTCCGCCCCCTGGAGTCCATGTCGGGTCCTGTCAGTCTGGCCGGTCGGGTTGGGGGGGGTCCCATCCCTGGGCCCGGCGAGCGCTGCCCCACGGGACTCACGCCCCCTTTCTGTTTGCAAGCCTCGGTCCGGAAGAAGAAGGGTAAGGGGACGGCCCCTGTCTGTTTCCGGCCCCACCCACCCCCGTGGAAGGAGACCCTCTGTGGCATTGGTGTGGCGTTGGCGTGGCGTTGGCTGGCGTCTCGCGTGTGCGGTGGCCTGTGCTGTCTCCCTGTGCCGGCTCCCGCGGGACCCGCCTGGGACCGTCGCCTTCCCGTCTGTCCTGTCTGCTTCGCTTGTCCCGTCTGTGGTCCCCGACATGTTCCCCGTCCCCCGAGCTGTCTTCATCCTCGCGGTGGGAGCCTGCGGCCTCGCTCGGCGGTCACCGCGGGGCTGCCTGCGGCTCAGGCGCAGGCACGTGGGGCCTTGGCCCACAGATGGGGCTGGAGCCCAGCGGCCGGGCCCCTTTGCCCTGGGGGGCGGCCCCCCTTTAGCTCCCAGGAAGCCCCCACTCTTCAGCAGCCTGCCCTGCATGCACAGGAAACTGTCCTTAAGCTGGGGGGTCGGATCAGGGGGCGTAGGGCAGAGCCTCTCCCTGCCCCGCCCCAGGGCTGCGTCGGGGGAGGTCGGGCAGCCGTGAGCCCCGACAGCAGGCCCCTCCCTGGGCAGCACCCACATCTGGGGTGTTCTCACCTGGTTGCCAGAGACAACACCCCAACAGTGGGAAGAAGCAGCATCAAGTCAGCACGGCACTCAGGGGGCCTGTCTCAGGGGAGACAGCCCCAGGGGGGGCCCCCAGAGGCCTGGGGAGGCCGGGCTGGTGCTGTGGCCACAGCCTGGGATGCGGAAAGGACCCTCCCCGGGAGCCTCCGGAGGGACTGACCCCTGACCCTCAGCTTCGGAGTCCTGCTCTGGGAGGTGTGAGATACACTCGCGATCGTCGCCCCCCTTTCCTCCCATAACCCCCCGTTGGGGACGCTGCTCAGGGGACTGGGCACAGACACCTCAGGGAAGCAGCCCCCTGCCCGGCCCCGTGGCGCCTCCCGCTGACCGACTAGGACCCTGATGGCATTTCCTGTCTCCAAGCCTTCGCCTCTACCCCAGTTCCCAGGGCCACTGAGGCCCACCCTGTGCTCTCGGCCCGGGAGCCTAGGGGACGGCCCTGGCCGAACGCCCCGGAGCGCAGGCAGGGACCCCGATGGGGTCGGAGCGGCTCCCGCCCTCCCTGCCGCCCTCCCTGCCCTGCGGCCCGCAGGCGCAGCTGACACTTGGTTCTCTCTGGAAGCTGCTCTTGGAGGGGAGCCCGCCCTCTGCCCTCTGCCCTCTGCCCTCTGCCCTCTCCCTCTGCCCTCTCCCTCTGCTGACTCTGGCGGCTGAGCCGGTTCCCCTGCGGGAGGGCCCTCCCGGGTGGGGGACTCGGTGAAGGCAGGACCAGGACGTGTGCGGACCAGCTGCGCTGGACGCCGGCCCTCCCCCGGGGCGCTGTCCCCGCCAGGAAGTGTGTCCGTGAGCAGGGGGCGTCCCGCGTGTCTCCCAGACGTGGGGACTGCGGAGCGTGTGCGTGAACACCCGCCCGGGGCTCTTTTTAATGGGCTTCCCTTTCCGGCCGCGGGGCTGCACGCATCCCCCACCCATCCCCATCTGTCCCCAGCCCCGGCTCCCCTTAATGCAGCCGTGGCCCGCCCTCACCCGGGACGGGAGCAGGCCCACGGCTCGCGTGGTCCTCAAAGCCTCGTGTCCGGGAACGAGCCCTCGGCGTAGGCTGAGCCTCAGGCCCAGGCTCCCGGTGTGGCAGCCGCCGAGGGCACCCAGGCCCGGGGGGAGGGGCGCAGTGCCCCCACAAGCCCCGAGGAGGCAACCGGTGCTGAGTCACAGGACCATGGGGGCGGTACGAGGGCCAGGCCAGGGTGGGAGCCTGGTCCCTGCCAGGCCACAGGCACTTCCACCTCCTCCGCGGGCCTCGCAGCTCCGGTGGCCACACGCGTACCTAACTCCCCAAGGCCTTGGCCGGCGACCATGTGATCCCAAGGGCCTCCTGTGGCCCGTGGGCCGGACGTCGGGACGTTCCCCACCCGGGTCTGAACCGAGAAGAGGATGCCCACCTCCAGGTGGCACAGCTCAGGGCGCACCTTCAGCCACAGCCCAAGCCCACGCCTGCTCTCTCACCGCTGGACTGGGTGCCCCCCCCCCCCATGGCAGCCTCGTTTCCCGCCGCTCCCCAGGGCGCGGCACCCTGGCCGGGGTGGGGCGCAAAGGATGGTGACCCCCACCTGAGCCCCAGCCCCCACCTGGGGCCAGGTCCCCCCTGCAGGAGCTTGAGCCTCAGGCTCTAGCGTCCTCCCTGCAGAGTGGGAGCCGCCCCCACGCCCTCCGTGGCCCGGCTCCCAGAAGGTGAGCCACGGCCCGAGGCCTTGGAGCTTCCACCAGAGCCCACGCCGCCTTTGCCCCGTGGGGCACACCCGTTCCTGGAGGCGTTTGGGGGTGCCTGCGCAGGTCCGGGGTCCAACACCAACCAGAAGTGGGACTGTGGGCGCTGGGCCGCGGGCCTCGGCGTGCTGGGGTGGGGCGGGCACTCACCACCAGCCGGGGAGGTTCAATGCAAAGGCCCGACCGGGGGGCCGGCTGGAAAGGAAGACCCGGCTGCTCGACTCTCGGTCACAGGACGGACCTGGGGGCCCGGCCACGGCCACCACACAGCAGAGCGGCCCGACGCCACGCCGCCCGGGGTGTGGCTGGGCTCTCGCTGTCCGGACCGGGGGTCCCCTGGGTGTGGAGTTCCAGGAGAGCCTGGGGGAGCTGCCCCGATGCGGCCAAGAATGAGGCCGGGCCTGAGGCCTGGGGGCACCTGGGAACCAGCTCCCGGTGTCGGGTGGGGGGTGAGGGGGGCGCGACTCTGTCCTCAGAGAACAGCCTGCGTGAGGCCGATGGCCACGGAGAGGCCCGGCTTCTACTGGCTCCCCAAGCGGGTTACCGAGCGCCGCGGAGCCACTGCCGCCAGGGGACCGGCCGCGTGTGGTCACGGGAAGCTGAGGGGACCGGCCGCGTGTGGTCACGGGAAGATGAGGGGACCGGCCGCGTGGGGTCACGGGAAGCTGAGGGGACCGGCCGCGTGTGGTCACGGGAAGCTGAGGGGACCGGCCGCGTGTGGTCATAGGTGCTGAGGGGACCGGCCGCGTGTGGTCATAGGTGCTGAGGGGACCGGCCGCGTGTGGTCACAGTTGTGAGGCCCTCCAACCCCTGGGCGGGGAGAAGCTTTCAAGGAAACAGGTTAAATCCCAGCAGCGAAGGAACCCGCCCTGACCTGCAGGGAAGGCTTCATGGAGGAGGCAGACGCCTGGGCTGGGGCTGGGGCACCGCTGGGTGGGGGGACCCAGGGAAGGGCCTGAGGGAGGGGGAGCCGGGCCGCAGGGTGTGGACGGGACGCCGGGCGGGCAGGAGGGGAGAGGGGCTGAGGACAGTGCCTAGCTGGGGTGTCCTCACCGATTAATTCCCTGAGGGGTGACACCGGCGTCCCCCAACATCGCGAGGGGAAGGAGGTGCCGTGGGCCCAGACCGGGGAGGGTGCCCGGCTCCCAGCTGCTCCCTGCCCCTCACACCAGCCTCCCAGCTGGGGGTCCAGCCTCTTCGGTGGCCCGAGCTTCGTGGGGAGTCACAGGCCCTGGAGCGGGCAGCGCGGCCTCGGAGAAGCCCTCGGGCTGGAGGCAGAGTGATCGGCGGCGGGGGTGGGTGCTGTGCCTCGAGGGGTCCCACGTGGGACGCTCCACCCCCAGCTCGTGTGGCCGCAGCCCCGGACTCCAGGGCGCTGGGTGCTGGGCGCGTGTGGGGCCCCATGGCAGACGCATCTGTGGGTCTCGGCGAGCTGGGCTCCTGGGTGGTGCGGCCCCCATCAGACCCGGAGTCTGAGCCCAGACACGCGTGTGCCCGGCGCGGGCCCCAGCTCTCAGATGCGCGTCGGGTCCTGGCAGCTCTCATGCTGCATTTCAGCTTCGCAAACGTCTCCTTCGTTTGTAAGGATGAGTAATGGCTACACCCGGCTCTGCTCACACGCCGGGGACTGTGGACTACGGGGGAGGGGTTCCCCGGGGCGCAGGCGGGGGCGTCAGAGGCTCCCCCGTGACTGCTGCGTCCGCCCGGCCCCTCAGCCCGGTGCTGGGTCCTAGGCCCGCAGCCTCACTGGGTCACGAAGGAGCCGCACCTCTGCACTGACCAAGCCCCGGGTGGGCACCGGCGTCGGAATCGGTGCGGAGCGTGAGCGCAGCGACGCCCGGGGATGGGCCCTCGGGGCGCCAGGCTCCAGGGATGGGCTGCTGCGGGTCTTCCGTCTTTTCCGCGTGCGCCACCCTCCCCCCCACCACCACGAGGGCGGGGACAGGTCCTGGCGCTGTGCTGTGTGGGGCGATCCCTGCGCGACTGGGAGGCCAAGCAGTCGGTTGCCGTGTAAACGCGGAGGCGCTGGCCTCGTTCTGAGCCCCTGGCTGTGCTTCGGGGGCTTCGGCCTCTGACGCCCGCACCCGTCTGTTCCCGCTGCAGATAAGCCCGAGGAGATCGTGCCCGCCGCCAAGCCCTCCCGCGCCGTGGACAGCGTGGCCGTGGAGTCCCGCGTGGCCACCATCAAGCAGCGGCCCTCCAGCCGGTGCTTCCCATCCGTCTCCGACGTGAACGTGAGTGGCGGTTCCAGTGGCGGGAGTGGGCGGGCCTCGGGCAGCACCTGGCGGGGCCATCCTCACAGCTTCGGGTCACGTCCCCGCACTGGCCAGACCCGGAGCCCAGCCCCCAGCCTCCCAGCAGGAGGCCGCTCCTCCCCGGGTCTCGGGCCATGCTGTCCTCTGGGCACAGAGCACCGGCCAGCGCTCGGGCCTCAGCTGGACATGGGGGTGGCCGTCTGCCCAGGCTTCCCTGGCACCGCTAGGCCTGCCGCGGGGGTGAGGCTGGACTGGCGCATCTCACCCGTGCCGCCTCTGGTTTGCAGTCCGTGTACGAACGCCAGGGCATCGCCGTGATGACGCCCACCGTGCCCGGGAGCCCGAAGGGCCCGTTCCTGGGCCTCCCTCGAGGTACGATGCGAAGGCAGAAGTCAATAGGTAAGAAGTGTGGCCGCACCCACAGGGGTGCCCTGGCCACCCTTAGGCCCCCTGCCCCCTAAAGGGCGGCCCCCAGTCCCACCTGCTGGACGTGAAGTCCAGGGGGATTCTCCACCTTTGCAAGCCAGGCTACCTGTGCAGCCAGTGGTGGGGCAGGCACACGGTGAAGGCAGGGGAGGGTCGGGGTGGGCAGGTGGAGAGGCCAGCAGGGGGCGGGCACAAGCGGAGGCAGGGGAGGGCCAGCTGGGCAGGTGGCGTGGGACCTGTGTTGCTGCGCCCCCGCATTGCCTGCCATGGCCACGTCTCGTGGGGCGGGCCCAGTGGACACTGAGGGTGGCTGGTCGGGTCTGGACTTCTAATCGCACTGTCCTATGTGTGTTGTAAACCACTTACTCTCTTGTTAACGTCACACGGATTCCCACTGACGGCTCCAGGCAGGGTGACCGTGACCCCCAGACAGTCCCCTGTGAGCCAGCCCAGCGCTGTCCTCACCCTGCAAACCTCAGAAGCCAGGCGCTGCCCGACACCCGGGCCTGGCCACATAGAGACGGGACGCGCTGCGTGTGGTGCAGGCGCGGCCTCCTCGTCCCTAGTTTGGGGCGTAGCAGCCGCACCTGCGGTTCCTGGGCCTCCCCTCCCGGGGGCTCGGCCGCAGAGCAGCCCTGACGCCGCGGCCACGGCGCTGCCGGTCGGTAACCACCCTTTCCTCCCACCAGACAGCAGACTGTTTCTGTCAGGTCAGTGCGCCGGCCTCTGTGCCTGGCACGTGCCCGGTAGCTCTGTAAGGCGTGTTCCCAATCCCACTCCTGGGAGCGGCTCGTCGGGCCCGGCCGCCTGCGCCCCGGCCTCGCAAGGAGTGCTGGGATTTGGAATACCCTTACCGAGGGCAACACCCTGGACGCGTGCCTGTCCTTTGCTCTGGGAGTCGTTGTCGTTTGAAGTGATCCATTCTGTCACCTAAACCCTGCATGCTCAGTGACACACGTGACCTCACGTCTGTCGGCGTCCATGTGTGAGCGTGGCTCCCGCCTCCTGGAGTGCGTTCTGTTGTCGTTCTCATAGCTCCAACTGTGGGACCGTCTGAGAGTCCCACACGGGCCGCACACACGCACACACGCACGCACCCGTGCGCACGCGCACGCACACACATGCACGCACACACACACGCTGTCGGGACCACAAGGCGGGGATGCTGTCCTCACCGTGCACGCGCCCTCAGCAGGTCCAACACCCCTGGGTCACTAGTCATGCCCCAGAACACGAGCTGACTTTGTGCCACGTCAGCTGAGCGCTGACCCTGGCTGGTCATGGTTGTGGGAAGCACCGCACCCTCAGCACAGCCCAGGGCGCCCAGCTCCCTCCATTCACAAATCCCTGCGTCCTGTGAGGCCCAGGGAGCCCCAAGGCCCTCAAGCCCTTGAACGGCCCAGGACACCGGCTCCTGCCACACGGACAGGACCGTCCCAGGGCCACGCGGGTGAGGGCGCTGCACAGCCACGAGGGCGGCGCTAGCGCTCCCCAGCCCCTCCGCATGGCGCCTCTGCCCTAGTTTCAGACGGGCAGGGAGGCCACCTCAGCCCAAGACCCTACAGACACCCAGGGGCCCTGGCCAACTCCCGATCCAGCTCAGCTCCGCCCCCGCCACGTGCTGACACACCACACGCACACGCGTGAAGGCTTACGGTCCCACCCGAGGGGCCCAGGTGCCCAGCTCTGGGCAGAAACGGAACCTCAGCAGCACGCACTCAGCACCCTCCTTGTCTTTTTATTTTACTTTCATTTTACTTGTTGGGCTCAGATGGGCCACATCCCCTTGGCATGTGCGCTGTGCTGTGTGTGTTCTGTGATGGTGGGCGGCGTGGCTGCCACGACCTCCCACTGACCCCGCCTTCTCCCGCAGGAATAACGGAGGAGGAGCGGCAGTTCCTGGCTCCTCCGATGCTGAAGTTCACCAGGAGCCTGTCCATGCCGGACACGTCCGAGGACATCCCCCCGCCCCCGCAGTCCGTGCCCCCATCCCCACCGCCCCCCTCCCCCACCACCTACAACTGCCCCAAGTCCCCGACGCCCAGGGTCTATGGCACCATCAAGCCCGCCTTCAACCAGAACCCCGCGGCCAAGGTGCCGCCGGCCACGCGCTCGGACACGGTGGCCGCCGTGATGCGGGAGAAGGGGCTGTTCTACCGCCGGGAGCTGGACCGCTACTCGCTGGACTCTGACGACCTCTATGGCCGCACCCCCGCCGCCCCGGCCAGCGCCCGCGGCCGGCGGGGACAGATGCCTGAGAACCCGTACTCGGAGGTGGGCAGGATCGCCAGCAAGGCGGTGTACGTGCCGGCCAAGCCCGCGCGGCGCAAGGGCACGCTGGTGAAGCAGTCCAACGTGGAGGACAGCCCCGAGAAGACCTGCTCCATCCCCATCCCCACCATCATCGTCAAGGAGCCCTCCACCAGCAGCAGCGGCAAGAGCAGCCAGGGCAGCAGCGTGGAGACCGACCCCCAGGTCCCCGAGCCACCGGGCCAGCTGCGGCCGGACGACGGCCTGGCCGTCAGCAGCCCCTTCGCCGCTGCCATCGCCGGGGCCGTGCGGGACCGGGAGAAGCGGCTGGAAGCCAGGAGGAACTCGCCCGCCTTCCTGTCCACGGACCTGGGGGACGAGGACGTGGGTCTGGGGCCACCCGCTCCCCGGGTGCAGCCCCCCACATTCCCCGAGGGTAGTTTCGGCGAAGAGGAGGGCGCCGAGCAGCTGGTGTTGCCCACCACGCCAGGGGCGGCGCCCAGGGAGCCCGAGAGCCATTTGGTGGGTGGCGGTGAGGCCAGAGCTCAGGGTGAGGCCGGGAGGCCGCCGAACACGTCCAAAGCCAAGGGTCCCGAGGGCAGCCCCGTGGGGCCCCCCAAGGGCAGCGGTGCCGCGAGCCCCGATAACTACGTGCACCCGCTCACGGGGAGGCTGCTGGACCCCAGCTCCCCGCTGGCCCTGGCACTTTCCGCGAGGGACCGAGCCATGAAGGAGGCCCAGCAGGGCCCCAAGGGGGAGGCCCCCAAGGCCGACCTCAACAAACCTCTCTATATCGATACCAAAATGCGGCCCAGCATGGAGGCCGGCCTCCCCACGGCCACCAGGCAGGGCGCGCGCGGGCCCCTGCGGCGGCAGGAGACCGAGAACAAGTACGAGAGTGGCCTGGGCAGGGACCTCAAGGGCGAGGACCGGAAGAACATGCTGATCGACATCATGGACACGTCCCAGCAGAAGTCGGCCGGCCTGCTCATGGTCCACACGGTGGACGCTGCCACGCCTGGCGGCTGCCTGGAGGAGGAGGATGAGAACGCCGACGCAGAAGCCACGCCGGGCCACGCGCTGCCTGCGGTGCCAGAAGGTGTTCCCGAAACCGAAGGTGCTTTACAGATCGCCGCCGGCCCCGAGCCCGCGGCCACCACGCCCGGCAGGACCATGGTGGCGGCGGGCTCCCTGGAGGAGGCGGTGATCTTGCCATTCCGCATCCCTCCCCCGCCGCTGGCGTCCGTGGACCTGGACGAGGACTTTGCTTTCACAGAGCCATTGCCACCCCCCCTGGAGTTTGCCAATAGTTTTGACATCCCCGACGACCGCATCGCTTCTGTCCCCGCCCTCACGGGCTTGGCCCAGCAGGACAGAAACGACGCCTCCCCGTCCCCTGCGTCGAACCCCAGCCAACCCACCAGCTCTGCCGACGGCAAGACGCTGGCCGGCCTCCCCAACTGCCTGCCGGCCCCGCTCCTGCCGCCCCCTGAGAGCTTTGACACAGTCACGGACTCGGGCATCGAGGAGGCCGACAGCCGCAGCGGCAGCGACCACCCCCTCGAGACCACCAGCACCGTCTCCACCGTGTCCAGCATCTCCACGCTGTCCTCCGAGGGTGGCGAGAGCGTGGACACCTGCACGGTCTACGCGGACGGGCAGGCGTTTGTGCTGGACAAGCCCCCCGTCCCTCCCAAGCCCAAAGTGAAGCCCGTTGCCCACAAAAGCAACGTGCTTTACCAGGACACGCTAGCGGAAGAGGACACGGACGGCTTCATTCCCCCGCCTGCACCCCCACCCCCACCCGGCGGGGTCCAGCCCGGGGCCGTGAAGGGGATCCAGCCAAGGACCTCCAAGTTGTGGGGTGACGTCTCGGAGGTCAGAAGCCCCATCCTCTCCGGCCCGAAGGCGAACGTGATCAGCGAGTTGAACTCAATCCTGCAGCAAATGAACCGAGAGAAACTGGCCAAGCCGGGCGAAGGCATGGACGCGCCCACAGGGACCAAGCCGGCCGGCCTCGCTCCCAGGTAAGTCCCACAGGCGCTCCGACAGACGCAGCTCTGCAGCTGGGCTCCCTCGCCCTCATCCAGGTGACGTGGCGTGAAGAGGGCTCAGGAAGCCTGAGTGGCCTGTCTCTCGTTCTCCTGGACTCGGGCGCATGCGGCCGAGCACAGACCCCACCCTCCTGGCAGGAGGGCGCTCCGATTGCGGGCTCATAACCCAGTGCGCCTGCTCCGAGCAAAGCCAGCGCCGTGGCTTCCCGAGCACTCTGCTCACTCCCGTCGAGTCCACATCTCCACTGGGACCGTCCAGAGGCCATCCTGGAGCCTCGCAGAAGCCCACCGAGTTGACGGGGATGCAGGGGTGCCAGCAGGAATGGGGATGGGGCGCGGGGGGAGGGGGAAAGGGGGGACAGACGGGTGTGCGTGGTCCTCTCCCTCCTCCCATCGCTCGCTGGCTGAGGGCTGGGGAGGGGCCGGGCAGGGAAGTCAGAGTGAAAGGCACCCCCGCCCATCCCCCCATCAGGCCGACCTCGTGGAAGCAAAGTGTCCACTTGTCCCGGTCAGCCACTCGCAGGGTCGCGCGGGTTAAGGTTGTGCCGTGGGAACTGGGTGTAGAGGACGAGGGGTCCTTCCCACACCCCAGCCAGCAGGCCCTGCCAAGGCACCTGCCCCAGAACAGCCCCTCGGCTGCCTGCAGCTTCCGGGTTGTTCTCAGGGGAGCGGTGCCCCGGTCGGTCCTCCAGGTTCCCGGCCGTCTTCCCCGCGGCACGCGCTGTTTCACGGTCCCTGGGCGGCGGCGTTGTCTCTCCGGCTGGAGTGTGCGCGCAGGTCCATCACGCTGACTGACGCCGTCGCTCTTCGCACCCCTGCTGGGCGGCGTCCCAGGCCGACAGCGAAAGCCAAGGCCATGACGCCACCGCTGGGTCTGGAGGTGCGGGCCACGCGCCCCAACTCCCGGTGCTCTTCTGGGTGGGGGTGAGGCAGCTCCTCCATGGCTCCCAGGACTCTCGGGGGCGTGTGGACTGGCCGGCTGGGCGGAGGGAAGCTCGCCCACACTGCCACCTCCCGGGGGGACACCTGCTGCTAGCAGTGCCGCCCAGCAGTGCCGCCTGGGAGAGGAGATGTTAACGTCCCCGTCTCTGGTGGGTGACGAACACACGTACCTGCCGCTGTCATGCATGCAGAAGTCGGAAGGAAGTCCTAAAAGCTGGCGAGTGTAGCTAGTCCCTTCTCCTTACGCAGCAGCAGTTCTTTAGTGGCTACAACGTGAAGGTGCAATTAAGACGCTTTAAGTGCTTCACGCATCACAAAGGGCGTTCACACAGGACTGACCTTCCTGGGAGCTGGGCGCAGGGGCCGCTATTCCACACCCGGGGCCGGAAAGGCCTGTGTCACTGGCTGATTCCAAATAACCGGAGGGCTGGCTGCGAAGGACGTTCAGTGGGACTGAGGCGCACGGACGGCCTGGCGGTCTCTGCCACGCGGGCTCTCCAGATACAGTTACACGGAGCACAGGAGGCAGCGAACGCACGCACAGTGGGCGTGCTCACGCCAAGGCCGGGAGAGCAGGACGCCGCTGTGTCCCGTCCGCGCTCACATCCGACAACAGTTCCTTGTTGGCGGTTCCTTGACCGGAGAGCTGGCCAGGCTCCCAGGGCCCCGCAGCGCACTTACCACGCCTTCGCCATGTCCCCGCAGGGGGTGGGGGGGGGCGCTGGGGCTGGGAAGGGCCCGTGGCCCCACAAACCACACCCCTTGTTCCGGGAGACGAGCCACAGAAGCCGCGTGGCTTGTCCATGTGCGCGGCCAGCAGGAGGCAGAGCCAGGACTCAGGCAAAGGCTTCCTGACCGGGCTTCCCTCATTAGCGACGTTCGGCTATGCAGATGGGACCGGGTGGCTCCGTGGCTGGGCCAGTTCCCGGAGCAGGGGTCCAGGGCCTACCCAGGGCTTCTGGGTTTCTCTCCGTCTCTGCTCCTCCCCCGGGTGTACGGGTCTGGGCCATGGAGGGTCTCTGGGCGGCACGGGAGTCGGGGTCCTGATTTCCTGAGAGCAGCCCTAGGACCACCTCCGACCGACTCCCGGTGGCCACGACCGGCACCTCTGGTCTGACTGTCACCTGTAAGCAGGCTGGCCTACAGCAGGAGCCGCAGCTGGCCTCTGGGAGGGCCCGCCCGACGCTGGGCATCATGTCGGGGCGCCCGCGGCAGGCGGGGCCGGTGACGGCGGAGGAGCAGCTGCAGGTCAGAGGGCGGAGGCCTCAGCCCAGGGCTCCGCTGGAAGGACAGCGCCAGACCTCCCACCCAGGGACCGGCCTGGAGGGGCAGCCACCGCCGGACATCGCCAGACAGGTCGCCAAGGGCGGGGCTGCGGACCTCGCCGGAAGCCCAGCAAGTGGCCGGAGGGCTGCTCCTTGGTCACCTGGCGGCTGGTCACCAGGTGGCCACCAGAGCGGCTGAGCGCAGGGCTCCCTCCGACTCCTGCCAGCTCCGGCCAGTGCCCACAACTGGGCCTGACCAGGCGGTCTGGAGGCCCAGGACGAGGAGGAAGGTCATTGACTCTCGGGGCTAAACCGGGCACCCGACTGGTGACCTCGCCCGGCAGAGCCCGACGTGGACACGGGCTGCGGCCAGGAAACGTGAGAGGCAGCTGCCCTCACGCTGGCGCCTCGTCCCTTTTACAAACAGGCCGCCCCCAGCACCCCGGGGCCTCTCGGGGCCCAGCAGGGAGAGCAGACAAGGCCGCTGCCCTCGGCCTGGGGTCGCCTGCTCCGGCTGCTTCCGGCTCCTTCCAGATGCTTCGAAAGGAAGAGCGTGGGCTGCCCCGGGCAAACGGGGGCTGGGGACTGGGTGGAGGGCCTCCAGGGGAGGAAGTGAGGTCCAGGGGACGACTGAGCATCACCCGTTTCTGATCGCGGGGTGATCGCGGGGCGGGGCTCTTGGCGCTGCTCAGTGGTTCGCTCACTGCGCGGCGGCCGGAACCGGGCGGTTCCGAGCGGGTGTGGGCCGCCTCCCTGCACGGCCGCCCCGGCCTGAGTGGACGCTCCCGGGCCCGGAGCCCGGAAGCCCGGCGGTCGGCTCCTCCCTCGGGGACGTGGAGCCAGGTCCGGGCCGAGGACGCTGGCTCCAGTTGGCTGGTCTCCCCGGCCACCCCAGGGCGAGCCCTGTGCCCTGCACCCAGGCGCTGACCGGGCTCCCAGGCCCGGCCTCCCGGAGCTCAGCCCAGAGGCCGCCGCGGGGCCCAGGGCCCGGCAGGGAGGGCTGTGGCCGGCTCTGAGGGCGTCCCGGTCACCAGTCCTGTGGCGGCTACTGGTCGCCTCCCAGCATGCCCCGCGCCCGGCCCTCGCCCTCCCAGCGTGCCCCGCGCCCTGCCCTCGCCCTCCCAGCGTGCCCCGCGCCTGGCCCTCGCCCTCCCAGGATGCCCCGCGCCCGGCCCTCGCCCTCCCAGGATGCCCCGCGCCCGGCCCTCGCCCTCCCAGGATGCCCCGCGCCCGGCCCTCGCCCTCCCAGGATGCCCTGCGCCCTCCGTGGGCAGTGCTCTCTAGGGGGCCGCCGGGACCCCCGTCAGGACGAACCCGAGCGTGCCAGGAGCTGCAGAGCCGCGACGATGGGGCTGAGCGTGGGGGGTGGGAGTGGGGGGCAGGGGGCCGGGACGCGCTTCAGGGCGGGGGGACGTCGGAGGGGACGGAGGGCAGCAGCATGAGGGCCTGGGGGCCAGGCGGGACCAGGGCCAGAGCCCGCTCTCCGCATCCGGGCCCCACCCTGGGGCTGCGAGGGGCGCCAGGCGTCCTGTGTCCGCGCTGCGGGCGGGGAAAGGCCACCTCTCCTGCGTGTCCGGGGGCCGCGGGGCCCCCCAGGAGCCCCTCCCGGTCCCCGGCGCTTTCGAGGAGTCCGGAGGCGCAGATGGGCGTGGGGGAGCGGAGTGCCCCGCGGGTCCCAGTCCCGCTGCCCCTGAGGCCCCCCGCCCCGGCCGGAGCCTCCAGCTGCGCGCTCCGTGTACAACCCCGAGGCCCGTTCATTTAAAATTAACCCGTTTGAGCTTTTGTCCAAAACGAGCTCGGTCCGTCTGGCCCCTGAGCACAGACCTCGGAGCTGCTCGCGGCCCATCACCTGCCGGTTCCATGACGTCAGGGGAGGAAGCTGGACGCGGGGGAGCCGGGTCGAGGGACCTGGTCCCCGCCCTGCCTGCTGACTCCCTCGTGGACAGGCCTCCGGAGGCTCGTCTGGTCCTGAGCACGTCCGTCCCCCTTGACGGCCCGTGTCCGGGTGACAGGGCCCCTCACCCCGCAAGCGAGCACCTTCCTGCTCCGCCGGATGGGAGGGTCCCGCAGGGGGACCTGCCCCCGCGCCCGGCGCTTCAGGGCACAGCCTCCTGATCTGGGGCGTGAGCTTCACCTGCGCCCTCCGAGGGGGGGGGGGGGGGGCGGGGTGAAGGCCTCTCGGGGCGGAGGCCATGGGCACCCGAGGGGCTGCATCCGCACAGACACCCCACGCAGGAGACTTGGTGCCCCTCCGGTCTGGTCAGGCCCCTCCGTGGGGGCGCAGTGCCTTGGGGAGCAAGTGCCCTTTGGCCCGGTTGCAGTCCCGGGACCGCAGCGTCCAGCCGGGGGGCCCAGCTCCCTCCGTGGGGACAGCGGACAGACGGGCTGAAGCCCAGCGCCTCCGCCGCCCGCGGTCACCGTGGAGGCCGAACTGTTAGGCCCTCGCCGAGCTGTGGACCCGGGGATGCTCGCGCCCTGCGTGACCGCCGCTGATGGAGAGGCGCCTCCGAGTGTCCCCTCGCTCTCGGCTTTTGTGTTAATTCTCGTGTTTCCACCGGGGTCTGACTTAAAAGGCAGGACAGAGTGATCGCCCAGAGCGGGTGTCCCAGGAGCCCGGGGGTTGCCTAGCAACACCGCGAGCGCAGCCACCCGGACCCAGTGGGGACGTCAGCGCCTGAACCCGAGTAAACCCAGCGGCTGCGGGGCGCCGGCCAGGGAGCCCCCACCCCCTCCGGGCTCGGCAGAGCTGGAGCGGCTCTGCCAGGGCTGGGCGGCCGGCAGCGGGGCCGCTGTGGTCCCCGGTGTGGAGCGTCCACCAGACGTGCCGGGCGCCCGCCCACGGGGCTGCTCTTTCCAGCGTTTTCCCGGACGGTGGTCTGCGCGCCCACGCGGCCCCGGGGATGGGATGGGGCCATCCCGGGGTGCCCGCCGCCCTCGGCATGGACGCCTCCGGCCCGGGCGCCCCGCTTCCCTCCCGCCCCGCGAAACAGCGTCTCTCACCGTAACCGGTTCTGCGTTTTGTCATTTCATTTGCTCCCGGGATGGGTGTTGGCAGAAGAGGGTCGTGCTGAGCGGAAGTAAGTGCCTGCGGTGCCCCCGCCTCTGTGTGCCTGTCCCTCCTCCTGCCGCCCCGTGCGGGGCCTCTCTCTGCTCTGACCACACGGGCCCGGCAGCCGGGGCACCGACACCGTCCTCCGGCCCAGAGGCCCCACGGGCAGGTGCCACCCGCTGTCACCCTGAGGGGCACGGGCACGGTCCCCCGAAGCACCACTCGCCGAGCGAGTGACCCCACAGCGTGTCGCCCTCCACATGGCGCCTCTGCCCCCAAGGCCCCCGCGAGGCACCGGCTTTATTCAGCGTCTGAGCTCACCCGTGTCCCCGTGGCACATGGGAGCCTTCCCCGCACAGGTGTCCCCGAGCTGAGGGGGCGGAGAGGCCATCTGGAAGGGCGCCCCACGGGCCCCCCCCCCCCCCTGCTCTGAGCTGTGGCCCCGCCTGGGACCGGCGTGGGTCTTGGTCCTTCTGGGGCAGAGGACAGATCCCGAAACCCCTCAGCCCTGCGAGCCCCCAAATAGCGGTGGGGCTTCCGCGAGCGGACGAGGGCCAGCCCGCGGGGCCTCCCCTGTGCTGGTCCTTTCAGCCCCAAAGCTGGAGGCCTGTCGGCGGGTGTCAGCATTGGCCCAGGAGCAGGAGGTCACAGTTCGATTCCCGGGCAGGGCACATGCCCGCTGCAGTGTGGGGCGTGCGGTGGCGGCGATCAATGGTTCTCTCGTCACTGATGTTTCTCTCTCTCCCCCTCCCTTCCTCTGAAATCAATGAAACGTAAAAAAACGAAGGCCTGACAGGCACGGGGAGGGTGCTCTTCCTTCTGTTTGCTGTGCCGAGGCCCAGGCTGTCGCCGCCCCAGCAGTGTCCCCGGCACCACAGTCCCGGCCGGGGGCAGGCTGGTCCTGGCCGGCCGCCCTCACTGCCCCGCATGCTCACCCAGCGCAGACCTCCGTCAGTCCCAGCCCGGGGGCGGCGGCCTGTGTGGTCGGTGTGTCCTCCAGCTCAGCCTCCCGCTCCTGTCCCCCTGCCCCGACCCCGGCATGGCAAACCCCGGGCTCCCCGGGCTCCATGCTCTCGTGTGACCTGGGTGTCTGCCGCCCCCTCCTGGCCGCCTGCTGACGCGCGGTGACCCGGCTGTGACGCTCCCTCTCTCGTTGCTGTTTCAGAAGCCCAGAGGTCGTGAGCACCGTCTCAGGGACACGGAGCACGACCGTCACCTTCACCGTCCGCCCCGGGACCTCGCAGCCCATCACCCTGCAGAGCCGGCCCCCGGACTACGACAGCAGGACCTCAGGAACCAGACGTGCCCCCAGCCCCGTGGTCTCACCCACGGAGATGAGCAGAGACATCCTGCCCGCCCCGCTCCCCGCCGCCGCCGCGTCCCCGTCCCCCACCCTCTCCGAGGTCTTCAGCCTCCCGAGCCAGCCCCCGGCCGGGGACCTGTTCGGCCTGAGCCCCGCGGGGCGCAGCCGGTCGCCGTCCCCCTCCGTCCTGCCGCCGCCCCTGTCCAGCAAGCCTTTCGCCACGAAGCCCGTGCACCTGTGGACGAAGCCCGACGTGGGCGACTGGCTGGAGAGCCTGAACCTGGGCGAGCACAAGGAGACCTTCCTGGACAACGAGATCGACGGCAGCCACCTGCCCAACCTGCAGAAGGAGGACCTCATCGACCTGGGCGTGACGCGGGTCGGGCACCGCATGAACATCGAGAGGGCCCTGAAGCAGCTGCTGGGCAGATGAGGGCGGCTGCGCGGCCCCACGGACTCCGCGAGAAGTAGAGATGGGCTCCCGCGGGGGCGGGGTCTGCACGGCCGTGGGGCCTGGGCGCCCCTCTCCCCGGGCTTGTCTCCCGGCACCCAAAGAAATGCGGGCGTGGCCGAGCGCAGGTGGGGCTCCCGGCTCTCGGCGGGTTTCCTGGGCTGTGTCTGCCCAGCAAGGAGCACGGGAGGGAGTTTTCTAACCCGGAGGGAGACCTCGGCTGCCTCCCGCCCGGCGCGCGGGCGGCCTCACTGCAGGGCCGAGCGTGGCCGTGGTCCACGGGCCTGGCTCTCGCCGGCCGACCCCCTGGGCTGCAGATACCTCCCGAGCCGCCCTCCCCGGCGCTGCGGCCGTGCTCGCTCCTCTCGCCTGTGCTCTGCTCGCCGCGAGGTGGCCAGACGAGCCTGGGGGCCCGCGTGGGCGGGAGGTAGCGAAGCCTCTTCCAGCCGCCTCCCGCCTCCCGGGACGCGGGCCGGCTCCTTGGCCCAGAGGGCCTGGCAGCTGCGGGGTGAACGGGATCGTGCGGCTTTGCTTAGCTTCCTTTCTTTCTTTCTGCAAATCGACTCGCATGATTCCCAAGTGGCCAGCCACGCCACGCGGAGCGAGTCAAAGCACAAGGTCACGATCCCGAGGAGGAGGGGCCTGGGCGGGAGCCGGCGGCTCCCGGGACCGGCCTGGGAGGAGGGCTGCTCTGCACTCAGGGTTTTTAACTGAGTGTGGGATTCCGCCCGGAGCAGAGCAGGCGAGCCACCGCCCCCCCGCCCCCCCCCCCCACGTGAACAAGATACGAGGTGAATGCCGGCAGCGTGCTGGGCCGCGGAGCGCCCTCCGTCCTGAGCCGCCCTTTCGCTCTCTGCGGCCCGAGCGGGTGGCACTTGGGCCTCCCCCCTTCTCTCTGCGTGTCCAGGACCCCACCAGCTTGTCTTAATCGTCCCACAGTGTTTGGAGAACCCAGAGGGTATGGCAGGGCCCAGGGGAGACAGGGTGGGTGTGAAGCAGATAAATGGGGTGAAGCAGCCTCCCTGGGCCCCGCCCCCTCTCCTCCTGGAGCCCCCCCCCCCCCATAACAATACCTCTATTTGCCAAGGGAGGTCACCAGTCAGGCTTCCAGCACATTCTCTACGTTCGGATGAAACTCGAGATCAGGTTTGGGGCTTTTGTTACGATTTCAGAACTAGCCCAGCTCATCTCTAATTATAAAAACACGATTTTTCCTTTTTTTCTTTACGCTCACAACCAAGCGTCTCAGTAGATCTGGAACAGCTGTAGGACGAACACGTAACAAACATTTAGCGGTTTAAATTCTCTCTCTACTGCAAGTTTAACTAGTTGTACAGATAGTTTATAAGCACAATATTTTAAGGAAACAAATGTGGCTGGCCTCCCTCCCGGGCAGCCTTTGTGCTACTTCCGTGCTCGAAGGTTAAAGAACAACTTTTGTGGTTTAATGACACTTTCTGTGGCATCGTTGCCCAGGGACGACCTTTTTAAATCGAGCTTATTTGGATGCGTCGGAACCAGCTGAGCTGTGTTACGTTTTCTATCTTTGCTAGAACTTCGTCATCAAAGGACAATTATTTCTTCAAAAGTGGTTACAGTTCACGATGCGGCAGTTTCTCCACACGCACGCGCGCGTTTCCAGCCACAGGCACTGAGCGGGGAGCCGGGTTCGGGCCTCCTGCAGGTCCGCCCCCGCCCCAGCCCGAGTCGGTGAGCATCAAGGCGCTTCACGTCCACGTACTTTCCGTTTTTCCACCCGGAGGGATTCCGGGCCCAGACACGCGGGTGGCCGGCGAGGCTGCCGCGGTCGGGAAGCATAGCGACTGGTTTGGCCATCCCCCGTCTTCCACCCGGTGACGCCACCACGTCCCATCAGCTCACACCTTCCTTTGCCCACGTTTGCGACGCCTCTGTGCTCGGCAGGGCGGGAGGACAGGTCCCACTCGGTGGCTGTGGGTCACGGGACGTGGGTAGCGTCAGTGAGAGCTGGCCGTGCCCCCCCCCCCCCCAGAAGCCCGCGGACTGAGGCTGAGAGCCGAGGGAACCACTTATGCCGCCCTGTCTCGTTCTAGCCGAGTGACAGGCCCCGCCGGGACCTGCGCTGACCCACAAGGGCCCTTCTTGCCAAAATGAACCCACCTCTCGCCCCACTCAGTGATTTTGCTCCAGCAATAGCCCCTCGCCCGCATCGCCGCCCACGGTCCTCCCGGACACGCAGGGCCAGGCCCTGCTCCACGCCCCGCCCTCCACGGCGGCGCCCACGTCAAACTGCTCACAGGATCATGTGGACACTATCCCAGGTTTTAAGATCAACTTTTGTTATATACTGTAATTTAAATAAAATGCATTCACATGCCTAGTTTCTGTAACCTTGTGTACACAGAACCAAAACCTCTCGAGATGTACATTTTGTATCCCTGCCAGGCCCCTCCCCAGGGCACCCGCACACTTTACGTTGATTCATATACTACAAAGATGACTCGGTGTGACTTGATTTGCCGAACTCTACATATCACAACGCGAATCACTTGTGGTACTTTCGTTAATAAAATGGTGATTTTTTTCCCAAGTTTCTGAACAAGCATTGCCAGGTGAGCTGGCGAGGACACTTTTTGTGGGGGCCACAAATACTGATCTTTTTTTCCCATTAACCAATTTTTTTTTGTTTTTTAGAGACGAATCTGTTTCACACTACACTTTGTATAATGTGTTCACATTACCTATGTTACTGTTAACTTTTGTGCTTTTATTCTTTTTAGACTTTATTAAAAACAAAACAAACAAAAAAGCAAGCTCCTGTCATTTGCACTCTCTCCCAATCCTTCCATCTCTTGTATGGCAACCAAATGACTGTAAAAATAAATATACTGTTGCACTAAGGCCGTGCTTCTGATTGCAAACAGCGATGGCGAATTCAGCAGAAGCTGCCGAGCCCGCACCCAGCGGGGGCTATGGGACAGCACAGCCACCTCGCCTCCGACCACAGTTAGAGCTCCGTCCGAAAGTCCGCGTGCTCCCGGTTCCTGAGAGGGCTGGTTCTCCGCGTGCGGATGGAACCACGTCTCAGTCCAGAGCCGTGGCATCGCCGGGCGCCTGCGGGCACTGCTGTCACGGGGCGGGGGATGCCCGCTTCCTTCCGCGTTGGAGGGAAGCAGGGGTGTCCGGGACGAGCCAGGTTGGTGCCTCCCCCTGGGGCAGAGTCCCCACCCCCCGCCCCACCCAGCCTGTCCTCTTGCTGTCCGGCCGCGAGGCTTGCAGAATGGGCGGCCTGGTTGGCATAAAGGTGGGGTAAGCAAGCGTGCACGAGGGCTCCGGGCAAAGAGCTGAGCCAGGAGGACGGCGATCCCCCCGGCTGCCGGGAGGAGCTTTAAACCTCCGCAGGGACCCTCCTCCCGGCCTCTACAGCGTCTTCTGTTCGGGCACCTTCTCCAGGGAGCAGCCGCCGCCCCGGCTCTGTGCTCAGAAGTTGGATTCCTCCGACGTGTTGTCAGTGGCCGTCCTCCTGCCTCAGGGCTTTTCCCCAGGTCGTACCCGACCTCGCCTGGTAAACGCACCCACCCGTCTTGTTAAGAAAAAGTGTTACTGGGAGACTCTTACTTGTGCTCGAGGCATTTTAATAACCGACGAGCAGGCACGTCTTTCCCAGTTGGTAGATATGCACGTTCACACGCACGGGGGTGACGTGGCGAGGTGCCCGCAGCAGCTGCGTGGACACGGCTCTGCCACGCTCGCCGGGGACCCGGGTCATTTCCGAACTTGCTCCTTGGACTTCGGCAGATCTGCTCACTTGCATTTTCAGTCCTCGTTGTGTCGGTGGTTTTGTTTCTTTACTGTTCCTGTAACGTGTTTCTACACGCCACCATCTCCACCGTTTCCCGTTGCCAATGTCCACTGCTTCTCCTCGGGAACGCTGTGTCAATAGCAACTCCGAAACTTTAACGTAAGCCTTCAGTTAAACGCAGAGACAAACAAACAAAAAACAGGAAGAAAAAAACAAGTGTGTGCCTTGGGCGTTCTGAACCTGCCCTGCGTAAACTCATGCTGTGCTCACTCTGTGTGCTCCGCGAAGGGTAGGCGTGTCTTCGATGTACCCACGTGGCCGGCGCAGCGGTCACAGTGCCTTCTTTACGGCGATGCGCGGCGCCGAGTGGAGAGCCATGCGAGAGGACGTGTCAGGAGACGTGGCCGCCGCTCCGGAGCCTCGCTCGGCCCCAGGCTGTGGGCCACACAGTCACCTGCGTTAAAAAATAAAAAGAACGCTGACACCAGATCGCGTTATCAAGTAGTTTTCCATTAAAGGTGTCGCTCCTAGACCGCGCTCAGCGTGTCCCTTCCGTGAAAATGCAGAGTGTGTTTGGGGATTTCCACGGAAGAGAGAGCTCCGTGGGCCTGCAGACGGGCTTTCCGGCCTCGCTTCCCGGGGCTGTGGCGCCCCCCAGGGGTCATGGTGGCAATGCCGATTGAGGTCGGCAGTGCTGATCCTTTTACATTTTGTTAAAAATAAAACGTTCATTTTTAGTGATTGAGGCCACTCATCCCAGAACTACTTCCATTTCTCCTAAGTTGAAGGAGCGGCCATACGTAGTCTGTCTCTCCCTGTGAGAAAAAACGCGATGTAAGCCCGGCCGGCGGGGCTCAGCGGTGGAGCGTTGACCTCTGAGCCAGGAGGTCACGTTCAATTCCTGGTCGGGGCACAGGCCCAGTTGCGGGCTCCATCCCCAGTGGGGGGGCGTGCAGGAGGCAGCCGATCCATGATTCTCTCTCGTCATTGGTGTCACATCCGTCTCTCTCTCTCTCTCTCTCTCTCCTGACCTCTCCCTTCCTGTCTCTGAAATCAATAAAAATATATATTTTTGAGGATCTCTCAAGATAACGCAAACTCTGATCAAAAGGTGTATATCCACTGTAACGTCTGGAGGCGAATCAGACCTGCCACACGCTGTATTTCTAAGAACCGGGCAGCCCCTCCTCCCCCTTCACGCTCACCCTCGGGCCCAGGACAAAGGCCGAGCGAGTGAATGATGAGGCGGGAGCTGCCAGGGAGTCTGGACAGGCGTCTCGCGTCTCCAAGTTCCCACAAAGCCCAGGGCAGGGGCACAGCAGCCGGGAGCCGCCATCTGGGCAGCTAAAAATTAGCCCGTTTCCGAGCGCGAGTTTATGAATGTGCCCATCCGGGCCTGGCAGAGACAGGCCTGGGGAGCCCGCAGCCTCCCATCCCGCAGGCTCGCGGGGAAGCCCAGCCCCGCCCGCCCCAGCTCCCGGCCCGCTTGTCACAGCGGCCGCCAGGAGGGCCAGGTGGGGCGGGGGGCCATAGGCGGGCGGCGCCGGGTCCAGCTTGTCACAGCGGCCGCCAGGAGGGCCAGGTGGGGCGGGGGGCCATAGGCGGGCGGCGCCGGGTCCAGCTTGTCACAGCGGCCGCCAGGAGGGCCAGGTGGGGCGGGGGGCCATAGGCGGGCGGCGCCGGGTCCAGCTTGTCACAGCGGCCGCCAGGAGGGCCAGGTGGGGCGGGGGGCCATAGGCGGGCGGCGCCGGGTCCAGCTTGTCACAGCGGCCGCCAGGAGGGCCAGGTGGGGCGGGGGGCCATAGGCGGGCGGCGCCGGGTCCAGCTTGTCACAGCGGCCGCCAGGAGGGCCAGGTGGGGCGGGGGGCCATAGGCGGGCGGCGCCGGGTCCAGCTTGTCACAGCGGCCGCCAGGAGGGCCAGGTGGGGCGGGGGGCCATAGGCAGGCGGCGCCGGGTCCAGCGTGCAGCGGCCTCCGCAGCGGCCGCCTCAGACCCACGTCTGCCGAGCCCCCGGCCTCCTCGGCCCCACCGCTCGGACCCTCACCCACCCGCCCCAGCTTCTCCCTCTTTGCTCACCTTGCGCCAGCCATGTCCCACCTCAGGGCCTCTCCCCGCCCGCCTCCTGCTCCCTGGAATGTTCTCCCCTTTGTCTGCATGGCTTCCTGGACCCCCAGACTCCAGCGTCCCCCTCTCTGTCGGTGGCACTTACCGGTCCCTCCCATTGGCGGGTCCATCTGCTTTCCTAGGAGCCCCAATCTCCGAAGAGAACCCCCCCAAGACAGGGGCTCTGCCCGCCCCATGCCCCGCTGTTTCCTGGGCACAGGCAGAGGCAGCCGCTCCTCCCTGACCCAGACCCCTCGCCTCCGACCACCTCGTCCCGCAGCTTCCACCCGGGGGCTCCTCCTGGGCACTGCCCACCCTGGGGGATCCCCGCTCCTGTCCCCTCCCCGCCAGCGCGCCTCGCCCCGGCCTGTGGCCCTGTCGGCTGGACGCCGTCTCACACACAAAGGTCACGGGTTTGACCCCCGGTGGGCCACCGATGGGTGTGCATCTCACATCAATGTTCCTCCTTCTCTCTCTAAAAAGCATGTCCTGGCGGGGATTCCCAAATAATAAGGAAATACACCGGCGCCTCCTTCGTCTAGAGCGGCTGCCTCAGGGCCCGCCCAGCTGAGTGGCTGGAGCAGAACCGGGCGCCCAGGGGGAGGGTGGCAGCTTCCGGGAGCGGGGTTCCCAGTGGGGCCAGAGGCACTTCCCAGCTCCGCCCAGGCAGCCGTGTCCTGGGCAGATGCCTGGCTCCACCGTCCACCCTCTCCCTCGAGGGCACAGCCCCGTGGACGCTCAGGGGCGCTGGGAGGACGGGGTCGCGCACACGGGGTGCTGGGGTCCCCCCAGAGCTGGGTGTCCAGGTAACGCAGCTTCTGGAACCAGGTGCCCCTTCTGCCATGCGTCTGCGTGGGCAGCGGTGGCCCCGGGTGGGCCAGGCCTTCGCCCTCCCCGTGGGTGCCCACATGGCCTCTGCCAGGGCTCCGAGGGGACAGAACACAGGGCGCCCCAGGGCCTCACGCCTCCTCGGCCCCCCGCAGCCCACCCACCACTCAGCCCACACCAGGGCCGCCTCCCGGGGGACCCCGTGCCACTCCCGCGGTCACCACCCGAGGGCGCAGCTGCGCCCTGTTCCAATAGCCCAGCGCGCAGGCTGGAGCGAGCAGCCCGACATGTGTCCCAAATGGACCAATCAAAACTGACAACGGCCACTGGTCACGTGCACCAAATAGACCAATCATAAATGGTGCTGGCGGCCGCTGGTCATGTGCCCTGCGTGGGCCAATCAGGACAGGAAAAGGAATGCCGGTCCATGATTGGCCCAGATGGCGTAGCTTTTGGCCAATCGCTGGGGCCAGGAGGCAGGACATAAGCCAGCGCACCTGGAACTGTGGCTCACGCGGTGCGGGTTTCACAGGGGCCCCTGGGGAGTGGGGGACAGGAGAGCTGCGCCCCACACCCCCCTCCGCTCGGAGCTGTGGTCCCATCTTGGACCCGCCGCACAGGCCGTGGGAAGTGGGGTTCATGAGCCCGGGTTCCCCCCAACACCTGTCCCCATGCCCATTGCACGTGATCCCGGCAGGGGCAGGGCTTCCTGGGCCGGAGGACCCGCTGCTTCCCTAGACCCTCGTAGTGGGGCCTGGGCAGCGAGCACCCCGCTTTCCCATTGGGGTGCACGTGGGAGGTCACTGCCGACAGTTGCGCTGTTTCAGAGCCTCACGGCCACGCTGGTTACACCGAGCACCAGTCCCGGACCCTGCCACCGCCGGTCGGCACCTGCTGGACCTGCCGCCTCCCGCTTCCTCCCCCTGCACCTGCCCCTGTCTGGGTTCCAGCCCTTTGGCCGTGGTGACACCCATAGAGCAGGAGCCCGTCGTGTCCTCGGCTGGGCTGTTGGCCGTGAAGGGTCATTTCCGTTTCCCTATCACGGCATCGCCTCCCGTGGGCTCTGCGGGCGGGGTCTTCGGTGGGCTCTGTGCCCTCGGCCCAGCACAGCCTCGGCCTGGGGCAGACACTGGGCGGGTTCTGTGCAGCCGGGAGGGGCTTTCAGTAAGACTGCGTGGGAGAGAGTGGGGGCCAGCCCCGCCGGCGGCTCAGGGGGTGAGCATTGATCTGGGAATCAGGAGGTCACCGTTGGATTGATTCCCAGAAGGGGCACATGCCCAGGTTGGGGGTCCAATCCCAGTGGGGGGCAGTGCAGGAGGCAGCCGATCAGTGATTTTCTCTCTTCATTTATGTTTCTCTCTCTCCCTCTTCCTTCCTCTCTAAAGTCAATGAAACATATATTTAAATTAAAAATAAAAATAGTGGGGTCCAGGCACAAGAAATGCGGACGTGTTGGCTACACTTAGAGCGTGTTGGCTAGAGCGACTCAGCCCCCTGGGAGCTTCTTCACTCCGACCCTGGAAGCAGGTCCCTTTATTTTATTTTTATTTTATTTTATTTTATTTTATTTTATTTTATTTTTATTTGAAGCAGGTCCCTTTAAATCAGGGTGGCAGCCCTGGCCGTGGGCTCAGTGGTTAGAGTCGGCCTGAGCACCGATGGGTCAAAGGTTGATGCCTGGTCCCAGCTGGGGTACGTGCAAGAGGCAACCGATTGATGTCTCTCCCACACTGATGCTTCTCTCTCCCTCTCTCTCTCTCTCTCTCTCTCTCTCTCTCTCTCTCTCTCCTCTTTCCTCCTTTCCACTCTAAAAATCAATGGGGGGAGGGGGGAATCCTCAGGTGAGGATTAACAACAAAATGTACTTAAAATGTTAAAGTTGTATTCATTGATACTGTGTTTGGCTACAAATAACAGAAACCCCACCCAGTGACAGGCCGCTTAGACAAATGGTGCTTTATTCTTTCCATGACACGAAGTGTAAGTTCCCGGAGGGCAGGACTCTGCCCGGCACCTACAACAGGACCTTCTCCAATCAGCACGTGGAGGAGGAGTGGGTGGGAGACAGGGCGCGAGGGGGGGGGTGCCTGGCTTGGTCTGACAGCTCAACAGTGTCCAGTCTAAGGTCCTCCGGCCTGCCCCTCGCGTCTCAGCCTCACAGCAACACAGGCTGCTGCCACTCCACACCCCACACCCTCCCCCAGGCAGGAAGGAGAGGGGCGTGGCGGCTGTCGGCCCCCCTTTGTCAGAGAAGCCAGCACTTTCCCAGAAATGTCTGCAACGTCATGGGCCACGACAGTGTCTGTGAGCCACCCCTCGACGCCAGCAGCCTTGGGAAGGGGGCGGGGAGCTGGGCACGGTGCTGCCAGTAGCAGAACTGGGCTGTTAGGGGCAGAGGGAGCGGGGGTCACTGGTGGGTGGGGTCACGAGTGGCCAGTGGTGTCCACACTGCGCAGTTTAGGGTACAGAGTCCTTCAGTGTTGCACGACCCCCTAACCCTGACAGCCCGTCCCCAGTAGCTACGCTCCCCCTTTCCCCAGTCCCAGCCCAGGCGACCCCGGCCTACTTCCTGTCTGTGGAGGTGCTATTCTGGCCTTTCCTGTAAGTAAACCCTACTCGTGGCCCTGGGGTCTGCGTTGTTCACTTGCAGAATGTTTCAAGGGCATCGTGTTGGAGCGTGTATGTCAGGGCCGCATCCCTTCCGAGGCTCAGCAATGCTCCAGTGATGGGGCGCGCTGGGCTGGCTCCCCCTGCTGGCGGCCGTGAGCAGTGCTGCTGCGCAGAGCCCAGCCCTGCTCTGGGGCCTGGGCCTCCGGTGGAACTGGGTCACCGGCACCGCCCGTTTTCCGAGGCCGCTCCTTTCCCGGGCCCAGCAGCAGGCACAGCCCAGCTGGAGCCCAGCCGGGAGGCACCCATCCATGCAGCTGCACTTTGGGGGGGGGGGGGGCGGTTGCTCAGAGTGTTGGGGGGGGGAGGGAGGTTGCTCAGAGTGGGAGGAGCCCAGCCCTACCTCCTGCTTAGTAACATACGGCCAGGCCCCTTCCTCGGTGCTCGCTGTGCCCAAAGGAAAGGAACCCCATTGCCTCCGCGCCCAGAGCTGACAGCGGGGTCACCGCCGGGTCGGGGCCGGGAGCTGGGAAGTGGACAGGGTGGCCACCCTCCAGGGGAACAAAAGAACCAAATACCAAAGCGAATCAGCAGCAAGTGGATCAAAAAAAGTTTATTTTGAATATTTACTTTAAAAAAATCATACCTATGAGGTGCGCTACAGACACTCAGACACAACTGCACGGAAACCCAACCGAGCGGCAGAGCGGATGCTGCGGAAATGCCCGGAAGGAAACGCTGCCGGCCCCGCCACGCTCTCCAGGCCTGCGACAGGCTGCCCGGGCTCGGAGGGTGGCGCGCGCCCCAGGACTGTCCTGGTCAGAGCACGGCTCGTCGCTCCCCCTTTTCAGCCGCATCGATGCATTGCATTCAGTCGTTTAGGCCGATCCTTTGGCAAACAGCTCCCGCCCTCCCGAGGAGCGCCCGCCTCCCATGGCCAAGCGGCCACTTCTGCACAGCAGACACGTATCCGCGCGAGGCCAGCCAGGGCAGCGTCCAGGCCTGGCCGTCCTGTGGCCGAGCTGGAGGTCGGGGAGGGCAGTCTCTAAGGGGCAGATGCCACGCAGCTCGCAGCTCGGGGACAGGGAGAGGCATGAGGAGGTGGGGACCCAGGGCGAGACAGGGAGACACGGGACAGACGGGGCCGTCGCTAAGCTCATGTCCTGTGGGGCTTCAGGCACACACGTAGGCGTGTCCACCTGACACTGAAGCTCACGTGCTTCCTAGAGTTTCCCGCAATTCGGAGTGTCTCCGGGGCCCATCCCGCCTCCGGGGACAGGGACTCCTGCCTGACCCCCCAGGGCGCCGTTGAGCAGCGATGTAATGAAAGGCCTCAAGTTCGTGCTGGGGTCTCCCACTGACCATGGGGCGAGGACAGCATGTACTCAGAGGGACTAAGGTTCCAAAGTGGCTCCAAGTGACAGCAATTTGGCAAAAGAAAACACCTCCAATGCAGAAAAACAACCCCAAGTCCTCCCAAGGAACATGATTACAATATATTAGCAAATTCTGTGGCATAAACATTTCCAAAAGCGTCGGCGGGAATATTAAATATAAAAGCAATATGGAGCCTCCCCTCCCGCCCCGAACCCCAAGAAGGGCGAGGTGGCGGGCCGGGCCGGGTGGCGCCTACTGCCGCAGCTCCACGTAGTTGGCCGGGAAGAGCCCGTACCTGCCCTTGCACAGCCCGCGCCACCAGCCGTCGTCAATCATCTCGATGTTGGTGATGATGTCGTCAGGGTCGAATGAGATCTCGTCATCGCCCGCTGGGGAGGAGGACAGGGGACAGTGAGTCTCAGGGCTCCCTGCCCCGAGGAGGAGGCTGCCCAGTGGCCCCCCCGACCTGGAGGGCTGGGGTCATGAGGGGACAGGGGCACCCAGGCAACTGAAGCTTCAGACCTCGAACGGTTTGGGAAAACTGAAGGTTGTGTGTGTGTGTGTGTCTACATGGAGAGGTAGAATTTCTGTAACAAATTATTTAAAGTTAAATGACTTTTAAAAACTGTAATAATGCCCTAAAGCGGGGCTCCTCGGAGACGAGGGGCTGGGCCACAGTGAGGCCGGGGCACGTGGGCCGCCGCCGCGGGTCCTCACCAGCCTGGTAGTCGTACAGGGCGATGGCCGTGATCCCGAGGTCGTTCTCGTACTCGTCGTAGGTGTTCTCCTCTGGAAACAGCGGACAAGGTGTGAGCGCGGGTGCGGCAGGCGGGCACCCTCCCCGAGCGAGCAGCAGCCTTACCTTCTGGGTAGTGGCCCGGGGCCTCCGTGGATGTGTAGACGGCCTTGGGGGTGTAGGCCAGGCCCTGCTGGCCGCCGGCCTCCCGGTAGTCGGTGGCCTCCCTGCTGTACACGGGCTCAGGCTCGCTCACGGGGCCTCTGTAGCTGGGCTCGGCCTTCATGGAAATGGCGTCCTGGGGGGAGCCAGCGGGGCGTTTCTCAGCCTCCGGGTCCCTGACACTGACCTCAGTCCCGGGGCTGAGAGCAGGCGGCCCGAGGAGGGGCAGCTGGACCGCCCACGCAGAGCAGTGCTGAGGGCCAGTGACCCCACACCCAGCCCCCACCCCACACCCACACCCTGCAGCTGAGCCACGGCAGGTGGGCCGCTCCTCTGAGGCCCAGACCTCCGGGGCCGCCCCACTGGCTGAGGGGGAGGCAGGGAGGGACCAACGAGCTGGGGTCCATGCTGCGCTCACAAGCACCGTGACCCTGGGCCCACGGAGCTCTGAACTCCACGCTGTGATCAGAGATTGTGACCAGGGTCCCGAGGGCACCTTGGTCATCAGGAAGGGGTCACAGAGCTCGGTAAGAGCCGTGCCAGGCACGGACTTTTGATGGTTTTTGATGGAAGGTGACCGGTGTGGCTCGGCCGGCCCACGTGAGGCGCTGAGGAGGCGACGGAAAGAGGGCACCACCTCCAGGTTGGACGCTGGAGCCACTCAAGGGGTCAAGTGCTTGGGGCACATTTCCCAGGATGGGGAGCCGACTGGGGGGTAGAGAGGGCGTGGGGCTCACAGCGGGTGTGCGGAGGGAGCAGCTCACAGAAAGGCCCAGTGTGAGGTGCCCAGGGCCCAGCCCCGCCCCGCCCCGCAAGGCTCCCAGTCCGAGTCCCCTGCGCTCAGAGCTTGCTAGCGTTAGGCTCTTGCGACACAAGGCCCGCTTAGTGGTGGGCGGAGACAGGTGCGAGGACCCAGACAGTGGTCTCAGGGACAGAGGCTGGGGTTCGGGAGTGACTGGAGGGGAGCTTGTAGGCCCCCTGCGGGGGAGGGGGAGGGAGAGAGGCAGGCGGCTGTCTCCAGTGACCAGGGTGCGAAGGACCGAGCTGGGCAGGGTGTCCCTGGGGAGTCAGATCATCTGCAGACTGAGTGACACCAACCTCATAGACGGGGCTGGAGGGCGGCCTCTCTGGAGCCGGCTGGGGGGCGGGGGAGGCCGGCGGGCTCTGCCTCTGGGCGCGCGCTTGCTCCTGCAACTGAGAGGAGCGGTGGTCAGAGCGCGCGGGTCCCCGGGAGGTCACATGTGAGCCAGACACCAACCCCCCCGAGGGAAGAGCAGGCGTTAGGAGCAAGTGTGCTTCGCGGGGAGGGCACCGGGGCAGTGAGCTCTCGGGAGGCCCTGCGGCCACAGCCCTGCTGCTGCCACCACAGGAACCTGCTGTTATTGGTCGGGAAGGTGACGCACGGGGACCGCGAGGCCCGGGACACCACCCACACCCAGTGACTCAGGCGGTGAGAGCTGGGCGCTGGCTGATGCTGCAACGCTATAACGAACTGAGACTTTTAGGGACTTTAAAATGGGGTGAATGGCCCAACCTGAGTGTCTCAATGGTTAAGCATCGACCCATGAACCAGGAGGTCATGGTTCAATTCCCCATTAGGGCACATGCCCGGATTTGGGGCTTGATCCCCAATGGGGGGGCAAGAGCAGGAGGCAGCTGGTCGATGCCTCTCTCATCATTGATATTTTTCTCTCTCTCCCTCTCCCTCTCTAAAAATCAACAAAAACACATTTAAAACGGGGTGAATGGCCCTGGCCGGTGTGGCTCTGTAGTGAGAGTGACAGCCCATGCACCAAAAGGTTGCGGGCTCGATTCAGGGTCAAGGGCATGTACCTGGGTTGCAGGTTTGATTCCCGGCCCTGGTCGGGGTGCAGTCTGAGTGCGGGAGGCAACCATTCGATGTGTCTCTCTCACATTGATGTCTCTCTCTCTTCCCCCTCCATCCCTCCCTTCCATTCTCTCTAAAAAGCAATGGAAAAAAAATTCTCAGGCGAGGATTAAAAAGAAAAAATATTTTAAACAGGGTGAATGTATTTTCCATGCAACGGACATGAATCTTTGGGGTTCAGAGGGCGGACTGTGGAGGACAGAGGAAGAGCCCCTTAAGATGCTGACGTCCAATCCCAGACCCTGTGACTGTAACATCACGTGACAAACGGAACAGCAGCCGGGAGGGAAGGCGTGAAGCGGGAGGTGCTCCTGGGCTCGGCCGGGCCGGGCCGTGTCACCCGCCACAGGAGGGGCTGCACCCAGGACGGACACTCAGTGGTGGGGACAGTGGGAACTGCAGAGGAAGGGGGAGAGCGAGCAGCCGGCCGCGTCCCTCACTCACGTCCAGCTGCCTGCGCGCCTCCTCCTGCTCCTGCCTCTCGCGGGCCACCCTCTGCGCCCGCGCGGCCTCCGCCCGCCGCCTGTCCTCCTGCTCCTGCTCCTGGGCCAGGCTTTCGAAGTTGGCTCTGATGCTGCTGGTCTTGCTGTTGGCTGCGGGGGGGGGGGGGGGGGGGACAGGTTCCTTCTGACGCCAGACGCCATCGCCCGGGATGGACCATGTCCGGTGCAGGTGACCAGTCCACGGGAACCAGCAGCCCTAGCCGACCCACAGGGAGGCCCCAGCTGCTGGCTCCCCCCGCCCTAAGGCCCAGCCTGCACCGCGCCCACTGCACAGTCCATCCCGGGACACCAGGAGCCTGGGGTTTGTCACGTCTTATATTCCAAACGTCACTGTGTTCTAACCGCACAGTCGGGAGGGATGCCTTGGGCGGGGGGGAGGGTGGGGGAGCTGGGGCGTCTGGAGGAGACACGTGTGCGACTCTGAGCTGCACGCTGGGCTCACTGACGGCACGTTTGGGACAGACATTTCCCCCAAACGAACAAACAGCCTCTAAAGTCAAGGAAAACAGCCGCGGTACTGTCAACAGGAAAACCCAGGTTCCCGGCAAAACCAGAACGCTGGAAACGGGCACCCACTCTGGGAGCTGCCATCACCTGACCCAGCAATCGGATCACCGAGCACAGTCTGTCGTGGGATGGAGCTTGGCGCTTGGCAGGTCGGCGTAACTCAGAGCCGGTGCTGTCAACGCGAGCACGTGCCCCACCCTGCACAGGGGACGCCTCGGGCACCACGAGGGCCGGCCAGGGGCACCAAGGCCCCCCACAGGCCATGCGAGATCGGGGAGCACCTCCTCTCCCCAGGGCGCATCTGGGAGCCCAGAGCCTCCTCCTGAAGCACAGGCTGCACGCAGGCGCGGCTGCAGGACGTCAGCTGCCTCCGCCCGAGGTCTGCAGAGCCGCCCAGCACGCCACCTCCTGCGTCGCTTGTTTGTGGTGATTTTTGCATCAAGAGCATCACTAAGATGTAAAGGCTTTGCCTGGATGGTGTGCTCAGCGGTTGACCCAGGAGCCAGGAGCCAGGAGCCAGGAGGTCAGGGCATAGCCTGGGTTGTGGGCTCGGTCCCCAGTAGGGGGCGTGCAGGAGGCAGCCCATAGTTTCTCATCATTAATGTTTCTCTCTCTCCCTCTCCTTTTCCTCTAAGAAAAAAAATTTTTTTTAAAAAACCCACATAATTACTCTGTTATAGCTGTATCATTATTCAGCGAGATAACAAAACTACATTTTCGCCCAGCAGAGCCCGAGACGCGCACAGACACTCTGGGACCTGGAAGACCCGCTGCCGGAGAACCGCTGGCCTGGCGACCACAGCGAAGCCCAGGGGGCGCTCTGCCTCCTGGTGTAACTGACCACTTCCTGCCACAGTCCCTTCTCCCCAACTACACTGTGCACTCTGGGGCGCAGCCCCGGCACGGAACTGCTCCACGGACCCGGGCGGCAGGAGGCCTTCACGCAGCTGTCACTCAGAGGACAGACCCTGGGAGCCTGGCCCAGGGCCCTCACGGGAGGAGAGGTCGCGGCTCATGGCGGGTGCACGAGCCACGGGTCGCGGGCTCGGCTGGCCAGCGGGGCTGCAGGACCGGGGCCCCGCCTGAACCTGGTCCCAGCTGGGAGGAGGCCCCTGCGGACCACAGCTGACCCAGCTCCACTTGGGACAACCCCCGCCAAGTCCCACTGCCCGGAGCTGCGTGCTGTGCCCGAAAGGTGCCCGGCCTGCGGGACCGGCCGCCAGAGGGAGTCAACCTCCCGGAAGCTCCCAGCAGCCGCACCCTCAACCTCCGCCCCCGTTCTCCCCGCTGCTCTGCCCTCCGACCTCCTGGGACGCCGGGCCTGGCTCACCTGCTTCCACAGGGACCGTCTTCTGGTACGTGGAGGGCACCTTGGCCACATCCTCGAAGGTGGAGGCATTCTACAAGACGGGACGGAGGTCAGAGAGCAGGACCCGCGCCCCACCCCCTCAGCTAGGGACCTCCTGCTCCCACGGTTGTCCTGGACCCAATGGCCCGAGGCTCTGCAGGCACCTGTCCCTGTGAGCTGCCGCCCAGCAGGTTCCCACGCCCCCGATCGGAACGCCTGCCCTTCTGGGAACACAGCTGGGAAGAGGAGCACCCGGACCAGAGGCTCACCTTGTCCATGCGGTCCTTCTGCACCCCGTACTTGCCGCCGAACCCCTTGGAGTAGTCTGAAATGGCACAGCGCGGACTCAGGGCACGGGCAGGGCGGCCGACGGCAAGCCCAGCAACCGCCCCAAATGCACCCAGAGCGGGAGGAGCAGGAGCACCCACAGGCGCTTTCCGCTCCCTGCACTGACCGGCTCGCCGGAGCGGAGCCCACGGGCACGCCCCCCGCCCAAGGCGCCGCTCGGCCGTGCTCTCGGGGAGCCCTCCCTGCACCAGCCATGCTGGCTCTGGGTCAGAGGGCACCTCCCGCAAACACCTCCCACTCGGGGCACCACGCGGGCGCGGGTGGGGCCGAACCAGATCGCGGCTCTGCCCGAGCACAGGCAGCTCCCTGTGCCTCACGGGCCCCGGTCACCAGCGAGGCCTGCAGGAGGCTGCGGGAGCCTGGACACGCCTCGACAGGAGCGGGGGTGCCGCTTCACCACACCAACCCCAAAGGCGGGGGTGATGGGGCAGAAGAGCACGCGATACGGCCCCTCGGCATAGGCGACCCGCATAGACGCCGCCCAACGTGCCAGCGCCAGACAGGGGGCGGGGCCTCGCCGCTCTCTCCTCCTGACCGGAGCCGGAGCCCGGCCTCTGGGACCAGCCTGACACCGAGCATCCACACCGCTGGTGGGAAACGAGGAGGCAGTCGGGTCTGCAGGCCCCGAGGGAAGAGGCGCCGGCCTCGGGGCTCCCGGGTTCTCGGTCGGAGCTGGCCCTGACCTGACCGCGGCAGGAGCTGCGTGGACAGCGCGGGAGCCGCTCCCGCTCCCCGGGCTTTCTAGCCGCCCGCCCCCCCTTCATGCTGGGGAGCAGAGGGCACGACTCTGTGCGTGGAGAGGCGGCTCGAGGCGGGACATGGGGGCCGCACTGCCTCCAGGACGGGCTGTTCCAGCAGAGGCGGGACAGGAGGTGTGGCCCTGCACCAACCATGGCGGCACCGCGAGGGCAGAACCCAGCGCAGGACACACCTTGGGAGATGACTGAGCGGAGTGGGGAGGTGGGGGCCAGGGCCATCGCTACAGCGGCCAGAGTTTCCTCAAAACTGGGAGGCATAGGGCAACCCCAAGAGAGAAGAGGACGCCACGGCTACAGGAGCGCGGAGACGTACCTTTCTGGGAGTCGTGCAGCTCGGGCTTCTCCTGGTGGTCCCAGCCCAGCGCGCACTTGTCCTGCCGGTCCGTCTGCACCCCGAACTTCCCCCCGAAGCCTCGCGCGTAGTCTGCGTGACAACAGAGCATGGCCACGTGAGCCAAGAGCAGCGAGGGCCAGGGAGGGCACCCGTTCCAGCGCAGTGAACGTGAACCACCGCCCGACCGCCCGCTCCTCCACGTCTCTAGCCACCTGGGGGTCCCTACAGGCGGCCTCCTGGGGACCCCAGGAAGCAACCCAACCTGCAGCAGGACCGCGGGCGCACCCAAGCCGGGACTGGAGTCCGGCCCCCGGTGTGCAGGCGGGGCGGCCTGTCTGAGGCTGCCAGGCCCACAGGAGGGGCGTCTGCTCCGGCCGCGGGCTGGGCCGAGGCTCCGTGCTCGTTCCCGCTGCCGCCGGGACAGGGAGGAGAGGCGGGCACCTTTCTGGGACTCGTGCTTCTCCGTTTTGCCTTGATACTCGAAGCCGACGGCGCTCTTGTCCACCTTGTCCTTGTCGATGCCGTACTTGCCGCCGAAGCCTTTGGAGTAATCTGAGAACGAGGCAGTGAGCGCGTCTCAGCCCTCTGGCCCCGACCCCAGACGAGGGGAGACGCTCAGGAACGGCAGCGGCAGCAGCGGGCACATTGGCACCTGCAGCACCCCCGCCCCAGGGGCAGGAAGGGTCGCTCACGGCACAGCCCGAGTGTCAGCCACAGCGGCCTGTGCGGCACCGCAGAGGACAGGACACCGAGCACTCGCTCAGCCTCAGCTCTGCGCCAGGCCGAGTCCTGGGAGCAGTTACCACTCCACAGGAGCCCACGGCACCGGGCACACGATGGGGCCGAGCGCCCGGAACAAAGCCCTCCGGGAGGCGGGGGGGCTGCACACCCCAGGTCCCCCCCCGTTGGCCTGTGCTCCCCCGGCCGCATCTACCGCCCCGGCTGCAGGGAGAAAGTGAGCGGCGCTGGCCGGGACCGAGCAGCAGGTCCGATTCGCAGCGCCCACAGGCCAAGGCGCACGGGCTCCCGGAGAGGCGGGAGGACACGGCAGGGCAGGGGCTGCGTGGCGGGCGGGCGGGCGAAGCCAAAGTGACCGGAGCAGGCAGAGGGCCCACAGCCGTGCCCCAGAGAAACTGCCTGGTGCTGCCCGTGCTGGTTTTGCTTCTTTTTAAAAAAATATTTTTTAAAAGATCTGAATGCTCCATTTTTAAATGTTGGCAATTATTTTTCAAATGTAAACATGCAAAAAAAGGAAGAAAATACATTTTAAAATGTGAACATGCAGGCCAACAAAACAAGCGCCGCACAAGACCCAGCCAGCAGGTGCCCTGCAAGGAGAGGATCAGCCCCGACAGAGGCCCCAGTGACAGTTCCCAGCTGACCACCGGCGGGCCTCCAGGAAGGGAAGCCAGCAAGGTCCTGGGACAACCCGGCACAGCGATGGACAGTTTAAAGTCAAGGTGTTCTTCTGAGTGACTGCGTGCGTGTCAGATCCGGGGTGAACACATTCACTCCATTCCATTCTCAACATCAGAAAACTGGAGCCCGGCCCGCATGGCTCAGGGGTTGAGCATCGACTTATGAACCAGGAGGTCACGATTCAATTCCGGTCAAGGGCACAGGCCTGGGTTGCGAGCTCGATCCCCAGTGGGGGGCGTGCAGGAGGCAGCTGATCATTCGTCTCTCATCACTGATGTTTCTATCTCCCTCTCCCTTCCTCTCGGAAAGCAATAAAAATATATTTAAAAATATGTGTGTGTGTGTGTGTGTGTGTGTGTGTGTATGTATGTGTGTATATATATAATACATATATAATTAAATATATAAATATGTATTTCTTAATGGGAAATAACCTAAATTCTACACTCAGAGAGGACACATTAAACAATGACGGAACTGTCACACAATGGACGACTAAGCCGTTGTGAAACGCAGTGAACCTACTGCGCTGGCCGGGAAGGAACCAGAGCTGGCCAGCACTCTGCCAAGGCCTCGAGGGCAGCGCCCGGTGGGCGGTGGACGGGAGGACACTCCCGGGCGGCGCGGACGAACCTTTCTGGGACTCGTGCTTCTCCGTCTTGCCCTGGTAGTCAAAGCCCACCGCGCTCTTGTCCACGCGGTCGGCCTGCACGCCGTACTTGCCGCCAAAGCCACTCGAGTAGTCTGGGGAGACAGGAGCCCGATGACAGGACACTGTCGCTGGGGTTAAGCTAAGTCAGGGTACGAGTTACCACGAGGCCATCCAGTGCTACCCGAGCGACCCTGGACACCAGGCCGCCGGGTCCCTCCACGGGCAGCGAAGAAGCCGCAGGCCCCGTGGAAACATCGGCGTGTGCAGAAAGCTGCAGAGGCCCTTCCAGAAGCAGCCTGCCCACCCCACACGTCCATCCCGGCCTGACTGCCGCGTCCACACCCCGAGCGCACGTCCCTGGCCACCTGCTGACACACCCGAGGCAGGAGGAGCCTGCAAGCGCCGTGAGGCAGCGACACGCTTGAGCTCTAGAAATGGCTCTCGCCCCGGCCGGTGCTGCTCAGGGTTCGAGTGTCGGCCCGCACACCGAAGGGTCTTGGGCTTGATTCCTGGTCAAGGGCACGCACCTGCTTGCAGATTTGATCCCCGGCCCGCGTGGGGCATGTGCAGAAGGGGGCCAATCAATGTCTCTCGCTCATGTCACTGTTTCTCTCTCTCCCCTCCCTCCCTTTTACTCTCTCTAAAAATCAGTGGAAAAAAACAGCCTCAGGTGAGGATTAAACAAAATGAAAATTAAAAAATAATAAAAATAAACAAAGGCCCTGAGAGGAGCCTGACCTAGGACTCGAGCCCACACCGTTAGAGGCCGAGCGGCGCAGTGACGTCAGGATGGGCCCTCGGGGCAGCACTGCCCAGAGACGGAGGCAGGCGTCGTGGGGCCCTGCGCTCGGACCAAGGGCTTCGTGGGAGCCGCACAGCACCGGCACGTGGCGGGGACCTCGCCGTCCCAGCATCCCAGGTGACCCTCCCTCCCGCCCTCCCCAGGAAGAGACCGCCTGCCCCGCCAAGGGCTGCCCTGCCGCCCGCCTCCCCATCCTACCTTTCTGGGAGGCGTGCTTCTCCGTTTTCCCCTGGTACTCAAAGCCGACAGCCGACTGCGGGCGAAGAAAAGGGAAATGTGTTTTTAAATGTCTCTAGTTACCCTGACTCCACAATGCCTCAGAGACGCTGAAAGACAAACCACACTTCTTGGAGGTGGATTCCCTGAGCCAGTGCAGGCCTAATGCCCACAGCGCTGGTGTTGGGTCTGCCTCCCACACAGGGCTCCCCCGAGCCCTGCGCGCTGCCCGCGCCAAGCTGCGCTCACGGCTCCACACCCTCCCCGCCCCTCGGGAGATGCCCCGCCGCACAGACCCACTTCTCAGGTGAGCTCTGCCCAGAGCAGGGCGAACACTGACCACGGGCACAGGGCGCCCCGGTACACAGCCCAGGAGACGGGCACTAGCTCCCCGTCTCACAGACCACACCTAATCGGGGCGGGCGGACCGACATCCCGCTCCAGACCCAGGCTCTCGAGGGCTGGGACATGAAACGGGCTGATGAAGCCACCAGACGGCGGACGGGGCCCAGAGCCACAGCCCCGCATTCCATGCCGAGCACAGCGCCATCCACAGGGAGGGTGGGCAGAAATGGCCCCGCTGGCACATTCCTGGGCAGATCTAAGGGGCCCCGGCGCCCCGGTCCATCGGGTAGAGGGTGGGGGAGTAATGGGGGGGTGGGGAGGGGGGGAGACACATGCAGGGTTTCCGCAGCGCGCACCGAGGGCCCACACTGACCCAGCCTCTGACCCCAGCTGTCACCTCAGAGCCGGGGATGCAGGCCAGGCTCGGGGCTCCTCCGTGTCGCCTCACAGGCCCAGAGGACACCGCGCGGCCGCCCTGGAGGGCGCTGTGCTGGCTCCCGACACACCACTCACCTGGTCCACTCTGTCCACCTGGACTCCAAACTTGCCTCCGAAGCCGCGGACGGAGTCGACCTGCGAGCAGTGCTTGGACAGCTTCGACTGGTACTCGTGGCCGACGGCCGACTGGAAGGAGCAAGAGCAGCCTTAGGCCACCTCCATGCCGCGCCCCAGTCACAGCGCGGCCATCCCCACTGGCACAGAAGCCAGCTCGGCCACCTGCTCACCGTCACCCTGTCTGCCAAGCAGTGAACCCCGGCCTTCCACACGCCTCCCCCCTCCCGTGGGGGACCCCCATACCCGGCCTCTGGAAGGAAAGCTCCTGCTGAAGCCACACCTGCCCTTACGTGGGGTCTGCGCCACTCCTGAATTTGAGGGCCGGTCCGCAGCTGCTTCAGACCCAGGGCCCTTAAGCGGGAAGCGTCACTCCCCAACCAGCGGCCCCAGCCCCGCCCCGCCTAACCCCCTGCCGGCTCCCCGGTCAGAGCACAGCAGTCATGGACCCCCTCAGGGAGGCGAGGACACGTGACGTGTAGGTCACCACAGGAAGTGCCACGGCTTGGGCAGTGCCCCATGGCTGCCGGGGACAGAGGACCTGCCCGAGGCCCACCAGACACCTTCCGCCTGCGGCCAGCACAGAGCTGAGCGCAGGCCCAGCGAACGTGGCAGCCCCACCGCTGACGCCCGCAGGCACCTGGAGCGACCCCTCCTGCATCCGGGGCAGCAGGTCTCCCTGAGCCATCGGCGCCACCACTGTCATCGCTTCCCAGGTGGCTCTGACGCCCGCAGCCAACGGCCATGCCCGGGACCCACGGCTCTGCCACCTCGGGGGCGGGGACTGTCCACGCAGAACACCCACAGCAGCCCCGGGAGGACCCTCGCCACACCGAAGTGTAGAAAACGGTCTGGAAGTGTGGCCAGACGACAGCCGGCGAGCCCCGCTTTCTCACGGACAGACTCCCCAATCTCCTGACCCGAGGCTGTCAGCCTGGCCGGGCTGCGGGGCCCTGGGTCCAGGACGGGGCTGAGGCGTGGTCCGGCGTGTGCACACGGCGCCTCGGACCCGAGGAAGTGCGTACACGCGGACTGCAGTGTGGACAGCGCCGGCCGCTCACGCCTCATCCACGCGCCTCATCCACGCTCCTCACACTCGTGCACCCCCAGCTGGGCTTGCTCTAGGTGATTCTGGGGGGATTTATCTGTAAACACACGGGGCTGCCTGCTCGCGCCACTGAAAGCCACAGACTGTCTAGAATCCACGATGACGCTGCTCCCCTTTCCCAGCCTGGGCCCCGGGACTCCGAGTGACAGGCACACTGCCCGCCGTCCCTGTCTCCTTCCTGCAGCCGGCTAATTCTGGACGTGGTTTGGGGCCCACAGCCCCGTATCTGCTCTGCGGTGACAGCGTGCACTGGGACACAGCTGGGACACTGAACCCGAGCAGGGCGCGGGGACAGGCGTGGAATTACAGAGAACCCGACACCCGCCGAGTCTCCTCACAGGGACCGAGGCGATCTCTGGTCAGCGCGGCGCACGCTGCCCAGGCCGGGCTGCCTCCACCGGGACCAACAAACCAGAAAGAGCTGCCCGACTGGGGAGGCCCCCCGACAGCCCACTGTCCTCTCAGGGGGATGCGACCCTCCTGAGCTGCCCCACGCCCAGCACTGTCCTCGCTAAAGCGCTCACCGGCCCTGCGGGTACCAGGAACTAGCACTGGCCTGCCCACGGCTCTCACAGGGAGTGCGCGCCCCCCCACCCGTGGGCAGTGACCTCTAGCCCAGGGCCAGGCGCTCTCGGAAGGCCACCGAGTGCACGCAGGGCATCAGCACGCCGCCAGCTGCACTGTCGCTGGGACGTGACCGAGGCCCCGGGGCTGTGTTTGTCTCTGTCCCACCCCGTGTGGCACAAGGTAGGCTGCACGCGGAACTACGGGCAGTGTGACGCCAACCCCTGGGGCCCAACTCTGGGCCTGTCCCAGAGCCGGGCCTCCCTGCCCTCAGGCCTCGCCTGCCCCTCGGGGCCTGAGAGGACATCCCCGCAGCGAGCGCGGTGTGAGCAAGGGCGGGAAGGCGATTGGCGCCGCTGCTTTCGGCACATCGCACCCTCAGCCACGGCCTCCGAGCGTGTCCTCACGAACGGGTGTGAGGGACAGCTGCCACCGGTGCGCGGTCAGGGCAGGCCAGGACCGCCCGAGGCCGCCGGCGCTCACCTTGTCCATCCTGTCCTGCTCCACGCCGAACTTGCCCCCGTAGCCGTGCGAGGCCCTGGGGCCTGTCGCCAGCTCCTTCTCCTTGAGGCTGCGGTGCTCCTGGTACACGTTCTCCCTCAGCTTGTGGATGCTGCAGGCAGGGCGGGCGGGGGGGTGGGGGGGGTCAGTCCTGTGTGCACCCTTCCTCCTCAGACACACAGGACAGGCAGCGGCCGGGGCTCCCCACCCGCCCTCCCTATGGTCCAGTTCCTAGTCCCGTGCAAGGCCGCCCGGGGGAACAGATCGGGACCACACGGCGCATCCCCACACATGAACGTGGCTGCCCTGAAACGTGCCCGTTCCTTGTCCCACGAGCAGAGCCCTCGCCTTGACTGGGGACTGGCCAGGAGACCGGCTGTAAGCGTCACCAGGCAGAGGAGGAAGCAGTCAGACGTGCCCCCCCACGTGAGCTGGGGCCCTGCTGAGAGCCCAGGGACACGGCTGACAGCCTCCCTTGACCCCAGCTCTTCCCACATTCGCAGGCGCAGCGCAGGGCTGCGGAGGTGACGGTGTAAAAGCCACTAGTTACCGGGATGCCAGGGACGGAGCCCTTGCAGCTGTCCCACCAGGAGGCCCGAGAGGCGAAGCCAGCTCACCCAGGGCCCCTGCCCGGGGGACACCACGCCCACACCTCCCCGACCGGACAACAGTCCAAGGGTGACTAAGACACAGCAACGCTCCCAAAACCCTGCAGGCCCCGCACCGAGGGCTGTCCCCCTCCCCACGTGTCCTGAGTTACAGCCAACCCAACGCGCCTCCACGCCACAGGGACAGGAGACAAGGACGGACGACTTAACCAATCAGGGCTCAGCCTGACCCGCAGCCCATGACCCAACGCCGTGGACCAGCACCCGAGTCAGCACCCGGCCCAGTGCCTCCCGCCTGCCCGGCCCTGGACATGGCGAAGGGGCTTCCGGGCCGGGGTGGCGTGCGTCCAGGAGGGGACGGTGTCCGACAGCCGCACTGGACACTCCTCCCGTGGGTGATGCGCTGTGAGGGCACCGCCAAGCAAGGCCAGCTCCCCCTCCAATGACCCTAGCAAGTCGCCTGGCCAGACAGCGCCCATGCCCGGGGAAGGGAGGGTCCCCTGAACCAGCGCAGCCGCAGTGAAGTCGGGGCGCGCTTCAAGTTCCTTCCACCAGCTCCTCCTGATGAGAACCACGCGCAGAGCGGCGGTCGGGGGCCGCCAGGAGCAGGGGCACCTGGGCTCCCCTCACTGAGGGGCTCACAGGACACAGGCTGGGATTCCGCCCTCGGCACCCGACGCCCAGGACAGAGGAATGAAACCGTTAGAGTCACGGAGAAGGTGCTTCAGGTCTCGGGGGCCCAAGGCCTCTCCCGGTGAGAAACCTGCACTCGGCCGAGCCGGGTGAGCGGCGTCTCGACAGAAGCCACACGACACGTGGGCTCCAGGGATGTGTGTACAAATGTATGTGCCCATGTGCACATATGCACAGACGCACACATCACGTCTCTCATTCGTCTACGAGACAAAACAAAACCAGTTCTAACGTCTGAGGGCTCCCACGGTCAATCAGCGAGGTGACTACACTTCACCTACGGGGCCCACATCACCCCACCGTCCTGCGGAGCCCGCATCACCCCACCGTCCTGCGGGGCCCGCTTCACCCCACCGTCCTGCGGGGCCCTCATCACCCCACCGTCCTGCAGAGCCCGCATCACCCCACCGTCCTGCGGGGCCCGCTTCACCCCACCGTCCTGCGGGGCCCTCATCACCCCACCGTCCTGCGGGGCCCGCATCACCCCACCGTCCTGCGGGGCCCGCATCACCCCACCGTCCTGCGGGGCCCTCATCACCCCACCGTCCTGCGGGGCCCTCATCACCCCACCGTCCTGCGGGGCCCTCATCACCCCACCGTCCTGCGGGGCCCTCATCACCCCACCGTCCTGCGGGGCCCTCATCACCCCACCGTCCTGCGGGGCCCTCATCACCCCACCGTCCTGCGGGGCCCGCATCACCCCACCGTCCTGCGGGGCCCGCTTCACCCCACCGTCCTTCGGGGCCCGCATCACCCCACCGTCCTGCGGGGCCCTCATCACCCCACCGTCCTGCGGGGCCCGCTTCACCCCACCGTCCTTCGGGGCCCGCATCACCCCACCGTCCTGCGGGGCCCGCATCACCCCACCGTCCTGCGGGGCCCGCATCACCCCACCGTCCTGCGGGGCCCGCTTCACCCCAACATCCTGCGGGGCCCGCTTCATGCCAACACTAAGGAAGTCTCTTACTTGATGTGCTCCTGGTGCCCAGACCCCTGCACAGTCTTGGCGCCCCATCTCTGCTCCTTCTCACTGACGTCGTTCTGACAGAAAAGGAAAGCCACGCGTGTATCCAGGGCCTGGGCTGACACACACACCAGGAAGCACCCGGACTAAAGCCTCAGGAGTCCCGCTCAGGACAAGGAAGCGGGGTGGAGCGGGGACTCACCTCGAAATCGGGGTCCGTTTCCCAGTCGTCGGCACCGCCGTCGTCCTGGCTGATGGACACGGCATGGCCGGCCGAAGCCTTCCACATCTGCAGGGCAGAGCGGGTCAGGGCCAGGAGCGGCAGAGGCCACAGTGCGCTCTGCCCTGCACCCCACGGCCCTAACACGCCCGGAGGGCTGGGAGCCTGGGACCAGAGGGCCCTCGTCATCCCTGCGCCTGAACCACTGGGTGGCAACGGATGACACAAAGGGCGCGACCACGGCCATCACGGCGGTCCAGCGGCATCAGAAACACCCAGAAATGGTCTGGCTTCAGACCGAGTGAGAAAACTTCTGGAAAATAAAAGCCACGTGTGCACTTCCTTCCTTCATCAGAATCCACATCTGGCCCGGCCAGCGTGACTTTGGTGGTTGAGCATCAACCGGTGAGCCAGGAGGTCACGGCCCAATCCCCAGTATGGGGTGTGCAGGAGGCAGCCGATCCATGATCCTCTCTCTCCCTCTCTGAAATCAATAAAAAATACTTTAAAAAAGTAAAAATTAGAAAATGAAGCAGCAGCTGCGAGGTGCATGGTTTTCCCGCTATATCTGCCTCCCAGGGGCACGCACCTGTGGCCGGCGGCTCCTACCCGCGGCTCCAACCACTGAGGCCGAGGTCAGACCCAAGGGCCAGTCTCTGCCGAGAAGCAGGAGGCTGCTGCCCCGAGGCCAAGGTGAGAGCACGGCTCTGCCTCATGCTGTTCAGACCCACCAGGCACAGGCACAGGCGCAGAGCCCAGCCTTCCCGTCTCTCCAGCCTTTCCCGGCCTTCCACCGGCCTTCCCCCGATCTCCCTGCACGTCAGCGGGGCTGGAGGCCATGCCTTGGGGCTCCACGCCTTCCAGGGGGTAGGGAAGAGGCAGCTCAGCCCTGTCCTCCTCCCCCGTTTCATACCAAGGGCCTCCCTGGGAACTTAACTTTCTTTGTTAAACAAGGGAATTCTGGAAAACACTGTCCGACCTCTGCGAACCCAGCGGGAGGACATGTCCCGGGACGGGGTGCCCTCGCCCGCTGGGGGGTTCGGGCAGGAACTGCACACAAGCACACACCTTTCTTTCCGGTGGAAGATGGACGCTGCTCAGAGAACTCTGTGGGAACAGCAGGGATCCGGTGAGCAGGTCCCGGGCATCCGGCGCCGAGTCCGCCTGTGAAGAGGTTACAGAGAAGGGTGTCTCTCTGTCCGCAGGCGCTCCTGGCCAGCACCTCTGACCCCCCCAACGGCGAGGTTTCACAGGGAACTTCAAAGCAGGACGAGACCTGCACTTCCTCACCCCCGAGCTCCCTGCGAAGCTGTGGCTGTGAGCGCTTCGCGCAAACCCACAGGACCGCCTCCCCGGCCAGCACCCGGCACCTGCCGTCACCCAGGGGTCTTCCAGGTTCCATTCACCCACACCTACGACACTGCTAAAGACAGCGCACCTCATCGCTGCGGCTTAGGGGACCCGAAGGGATCTACGTGGCCGGGAGACACAACAGTGGGGCGACTCAGGGCGCAGAGAGCTGGCTGCATCCCCAAGGCCGGATCTGGTTACTGCGCAGAGCTCAAGGCTCTAACTCCCCAGGCCCGACGGCACCGCACCGCTGGGCAGCACAGAGCAGATGCAGGTAATTCCCGGCCCAGGAACAAGCCGGTCTCAGGCAGCTGGTCGCGAACTGGCCCCTGCAGGGATGGCCCCGCTGGCCTCCCCGCACTCAGTTTCCTGCCGAGGTCCTGACCCTACAGTTCACTCCTCTTCCTCCCCCCCCCAGACACCCGGACTTGTGTGGGCTCCTCTGTACGTCCCTGGCATTGCAGTGACCACTGCCATCGGCCAGCATCTACAAATTACCCAGGAGCCACCTGTGACAGGCTCAGTTCTACCACAATTCATTACCTTCTCAACATTTTAAATTTAAAAATAAAAGCACAAATATAGCTGCTAGAAAAATGGAAACCCTGGGTGCTCTTTGGATCCAAAGATAACGCCCCCGACCCCTATCTCACACCACAAACAAAAACTCACTCACACGTGTAGCTAAGTGTCTGAGCCAAGACTATGAAAACAAAGGCACAGATCTCCATAACCCTGACTTTGGCAACAGGTCCTAGAGCAGCGATTCTCAACCTTCCTCACGCCGCGACCCCTTCATACAGTTCCTCATGTTGTGGTGCCCCCCAACCATAACATTATTTTCGTTGCTACTTCATAACTGTAATGTTGCTACTGTTATGAATTGTCATGTACATATCTGATATGCAGGATGTATTTTCATGGTTACACATTGAACATAATTAAAGCATCGTGATTAATCACAAAAACAATATGTAATTATATATGTGTTTTCCGATGGTCTTAGGCGACCCCTGTGAAAGGGTCGTTCGACCCCCCAAAGGGGTCGCGACCCACAGGTTGAGAACCGCTGTCCTAGAGGCAGCAGGAGAGGGAAGAAGAAAAGCAAGCTGGACACAATGTCAACCTGAGTGCTTCCAGGGAAGCGCCGAAGGAGGCGAAGGAATCTGCAGTGGGAAGACCAGGTGCCCAGGCCACACAGAACTCTACACCTCAGTGACCGAAAGGACAGTCAGCCACATTTTAAAGCCTAAACAGGCATCTCCCCAAAGACCCTGAAATGGATAACAAGCCCCTGAAACGAGTCAGTGTCATTAACCACCGAGGAAATGCAAATCACAAGCAGACCCCTGCACACCTGAAACCAGGGGCAGGGGAGCCGGTGCTGTGCTCAGGGGCTGAGCAACGACCCATGAACCCGGAGGTCACAGCTCCCGGTCACGGCACAGGCCCAGGTGGCCGGCTTGATCCCCAGTGGGGGGCATTCAGGAAGCAGCCGGCTGACGATTCTCTCTCTCTCTCCCTCTCCCTTATCTTAAAAAACAAAAAGAAAGCAGGCAGGCCTGGGGAGGTGTGCATACACCAGAAGCCCCCGTGTTGCTGCTGGGAACGTAAAATAAAAACAGGCTGGCAGCTGCTCAAAAGCTCAACGTGGAGTTACTACCGGACCCGACCCCGGGTGGCCGCCCAGGAGGAATGAAACTGCCGTCCACGCAGCGCCCAGGAATGCTCGCGGCCGCAGGACTCCAAGGCCACAGAGCAAGCAACCCCAAGGGCAGGTCATGGAGGACGCAGCGCTGCTCCACGCACACAGCGCAGGAAACTTGGGAAAAAAAGCAGGGAAGTCCTGACACGCTACAACATGGATGGCCCGAAAACACGCATGTGAGCGAAGCCAGACGCTGGCGGCCCCGTGTTACACAGCCCACTGCTGCGAAACGTCCAGAACTGGGGAGTCTGCAGAGACAAAGAGTGCATTCGCCTCGTGTTGGGGAAGTGGGGGTGCCGGTTACCGGGTTTCTCTCTGAGGTGATGAAATTGACCTAAAATTGATTGTGGAGACGCTGGGACAACTCTGACTAGAGGAAACACGAGTGGACGGGACCCTGTCGGTGGGGGAAGTGTGTGGTCTGGAATCAGGTCTCCGTAAAGGTGCTACCAAAGAACAGTTCAAGAATAAATACCTCGCCCGCATTCACACAGCACACGCATGGTAGACCGTCCCGGCCCCGCACAGGGACAAGGTGAGAGGGTGCGAGTGTGAGGGAGGCAGCCTGCAGCCCCCCGGGCAGTCCCCCCGGCCGGGAGCGTTACACGCAGAGCCATCACCATCACCACAGGGCCGTGTCTACACCCCCCCCCCCCCCCCGCCCCCCACTCAGAGGACGCCCTCCCCCTCGCCTCGGGCACATTCTCTCCGTTTCCTCAAATACCAGTGGCACCTGACCACAGAGACCTGACCACAGAGAAGACCAGCCCGCGGGGCCTCCAGGCCCAGGACGCTGGGAACTGCCACTCACTCGGCCTCTTTCTGAGCAACTACCGCAGGGCGGGGACCCCAGGCCCGGTTACCCCACAGCAGAGGCCAAGGCTGCGGTCTGCTCTGATCTGATCCGGGTCGGGCAGCGAGAAGCAACAGTGAACGAAGGCATCCATCCCTGGAGCCACAAGCTGACGTTTCTCCCCCCCCCCTCCCCAAAACCAATAAATGTTTTAAAAAGCGTCTGACAGATGCTTCCCTAAGTCACCGAAGTCTCCCAGCCGGTCCGCCCGCTGCAGGGGGCGGGGGGATGGAGACTAAGGACCCAAACGCCCCTGGGCCTGGCCCCGCTCCGGGAGCCGCCTTTGGGCTCTGCCTGCACCGGGGCATCCGGGAGAGTTTCCCAGGCGGGACGGGCGGCTCCAGCGCCGGTGACTCACCGCGGTCCGCCCGGGAATGCGGGCTGGTGGGAGGGGCCCTGCGACCACAGCCCTTCCAGGCCCGGCGGCTGGGGGCTGGAGCTGGGGCCGGAGCGGGGGATGGGGAGGACGGGCGGTCCGGACCGGACGGGTAGCCCGGGGCCCAGTCGAAGCTGCGCCCGGACGCTCGGGGCCGGGGGGGAGGGGGGCGGCTGCGAGCGGGAGTGGAAACCCGCCCCCCAGACCGACACGTCAACGGGCGCCGGGAGGAGGCCCCGTCCCCAGGCTGCACCTGAGACCCCGGCCGCACGGAGCTCCCGCGGGGAGATGCAGGCGATCGGGACGGAAAACACAAGAGAAAACCCGAAAAAACCCGAAAGCGCCTCCCGGTGGGGCCCCCGCGCAGGGGCGCCCAGTGCAGAGCCGCTCCGCCGGCGGCCTGTCCGCTGACCTGGGTGTGCACGTCCCGCAGGTGCGCCCCGCTCCCGGCCCCCGGCCCTCGGCCGCCCCTGAGCCCCCCGGCCCTCGGCCCGGCCACCCCGGCCCTGAGCCCCCGGGTTCTGGCCCCGGTCCCGAGCCCCCTCTCCGCAGGGCCCTTCCCACCTTCACCTTCTCGGACCTCCGGCCCCTTCCCCCTCCGACCCCGGCGCCCTCCCCTCGGGCCCTGCCCTCCCCCTTCCTCCCGCAGCCCCGCCCCCCGCCCTCCCGGGCCCGGGTCCCCCGCCCCTCACCCTCCCCACCGTCCCCAGCCCCCAGCCCCCTCCGCCCCCTCCCGCCCCTCCCCCGCCCGCCGCCCGCCGCCCGCCCCGGGTCCGGGAAGCCTCGCCCGCGCCCCCCCCGCGCCCGAAACCGCGAGCGGAAGAGCGGCGAGACCTCAGCGGCCGCAGCTTCCTTCCCGTTTCGGGGCCGGCGGTGCCCCAGGCGCAGGAGGGACGGGCCGCCGGCAGAGGCCGCGCTCGCTCACCGCCCCGCGAGGGCTCGTCCCGGCCGCAGCTCCCGCTCCGACGCCCGTCTCTCCCCGGAGCTCCCGGCGCCGCTCCACTTCCGGTTCCGCGGCGGGGGCGGGGCCGCATCCGGGTCCCGGGAAGCCCCGCCCCGCCCACTCGGAGCGCCGCCGCGGAAGCTGGAGAGTCGCCCCCTCCCCGCCCCCCGGGGCGCCTGCGCGGAGGGGGCTGCCGAGCGCCGCTGCCGGCAGTCGAGGCCTTGGTCCGGGGTCCGAGCCCTGCGCCCCGGGAGAGGGGCCAGGACCGGGCGCGGGGTCAGTGCGGGCCTGGAGCCCCGAGGACTCGCTCACAGTGACTGACCGCCAGCCACTGAGCGGACAGGCGTCCTCCTCCCCCACCCATCCCCCATCCCCCACCCCCATCCCCTATCCATCCCTCCCCCACCCACCATCTCCCACCCACCATCCCCCACCCATCCCCCATCCCCCCACCCCCTACCAATCCCTCCCCCACCCATCCATCTGCCTGTCCATCCTCAACCGTCCCCACCCACCATCCCCCACTCATCCCTCTCCCACCCAAGCCTCCCCCATCCCTCCCCCACCCATCCATCCCCTTCCATCTATCCACCCATCCCCCACCCATCCCATCCCCCACCCATCCATCCTCCACCCCCCATCCGCACATTACCCACGTCTATCCTCCATTCATCCATCCATCCATCCATCCACCCGTCATCCACACATCCACCCTCCATTCACCCACCAATCCTTCCATCCATCAATCATCCATCCATCCATCCAGAGAAGGCCAGATACGATCAGGGACAGAAGGTCAGTAGGACAAAAGTGGACCTTGCCCTCCGGGCCCTGGCAGCCTGGAGGGAGATCCAGGCGGAGGAAACCAGATAAACGCTGTGAAGATGTCAAAGACCTCATGGGATTACACTGGGGAGGAGCTGGGACCTGAACTCTTCCCAGAGAGCGGACAAGGTCCCTTTCGGCCAATAAATTAACCTTTGCGTGGGGATCCGAAGGCCACCGGGCGGAGACTAGTCAAGAGGGAAGAGCTTTCGCGGAGGCACTGGAGGAAGGGCCCTGTGGCCACTGAGGCTGGGAGGTCATGTCGAGGTCGACCGAGCACAGCAAGGACCTTTTCAAGAAATGGGAAGTCCTAGGAGGGAAGGGGGGGGGGGGTGCGGGACGGAAGATAGCTGTAATACTGTCAACAATAAAAATATATTTAAAAAGTTATAAAAATATATACACCCATAAACATGGGAAGCTAGAGTGTGCATTGCAGTGGGCGCCCCCTAGCGGCCGTGTGGGGAGTGGCTGGAAAGAGGACCGGGAGGAGCCTAGCGCAGCCAGTGGGGCAAACTGGTGGCAGAGGTCAGATGGAGAGAAGCTAGTGGACAGGAGGCATTCGGACAGTTACATGGGCACACCTAAGAATGGACTAGGGGCCCTGCTGGTTTGGCTCCGTGGATAGAGCGTCGGCCTGCGCACTGAAGGGTCCCATGTTCGATTCCGGTCAAGGGCATGTACCTGGGTTGCGGGCACATCCCCAGTAGGGGGATATGATATGCAGGAGGCAGCTGATCCATGTTTCTCTCTCATTGATATTTCTAACTCTCTATCCCTCTCCCTTCCTCTCTGTAAAAAAAAATCAATAAAATATATTAAAAAATAAAAAATAAATCCCAACTGTTGAGTATGGGGGCCAATCGACCTTTTAAAAAAAAATGGACTAGGGGCCGGGCTGGTGTGGCTCAGTGGATGGAGCACCGGCCTGCAGACAGAGGGGTCCCGGGTTCGATTCTGGTCGGGGGCACATGCCTGGGTTGCAGGCTTGATCCCCAGTGGGGGATGTGCAGGAGGCAGCTGATCAATGCTCTTATCATTGATGTTTCTCTCTCCCACTCTGAAATCAATAAAAATATATTTTAAAAAAAAGAATAGACGTAGGGGCCCGGCGGGAGAGGCTCAGTGGTTGAGCGTCCACCTATGATTCGATTCCCGGTCAGGGCACATGCCAGGGTTTCAGGCTCTGCTGATCGCCAGTGTGGGGCGTGCAGAAGGCAGCCAGTCAATGATTCTCTCACCATTGATGTGTCTGTCTCTCTCCCTCTCCCTTCCTCTCTGAAATCAATAAAAAAAATATTATTTAAAAACTAGCTTTTTAGAAAATAAAATCAAGAAGGTAGACGAGCCCAGCTGCGCGGGTCAGTAATTAACCGTCGACCTATGAACCAGGAGGTCATAGTTCAATTCCCGGCCAGGGCACATGGCCGGGACTGTGGGCTGGACCTGTGTCCAGGTCTCAACTCAGAATAGGACACACAGGCCCAGTGTTCCCGGGACACCCTAATGTACCCAGGGCCCAGACAGGCTTTCTGGGTGCCTGTCCCCAGGATGCTCAAAGAATGATGGTCAGTGACACTTCTGACTGTTTGGTCGGTGCCAAGGATTGTTCTAAGCACCTTGCCCGGATCGTCTCATTTCGTTCACAGCAACCCCATGGCGTACTTGCATTTGCTGCTCATTAGAGGTGCAGGTAGCAGGCAGGTGAGGGGTGGCAGTCACAGCGTCTACCACCCACAAGTGGTTCCAGTATCTCAGCCCCTCCCATGGGTCCCCAGGAGAAAGGGCAGCCAGATGGGAACGAACATGTGGGAACTGGCCATTCAAACAGGGAAGCCCAACGCTTGGCAGTACGTGTAGGGTGCTCGAACTCGCCAGTGACAACACAGGCCAAACGACAAGGAGACCCACTTTCCACCATCAGACAGTCACCGTGAGGAAGGGAGGGGCGCCAGGTGAGGGTGAGGCGAGGGGGCGGAGCCTCTGGGGCTGAGGAGGCCCAGCTGTCTCTGGGGGAGCCCGGATGTGCCACACTGACCCACAGGGAGTGCTGGCTGCCCAGTTGTTTATGTAGCTCATGTCAGCAGCCAATTATTCGTGTGCGGAGGAGTGGGTAATAAGATCCAGTGGGTATACACTGAGGGATGCTGTGCAACAGGGAGACGGGGTAGGTGTTCGCGGAACAGCCTGTGCATATTCTACAATCCATGCAGGGTATGTTAAGCAGCGGCTCTCAAGGTCCTGGACATCAGGCCCGGCCGACGTGGCTCAGGGGTTGAGCTTCGACCTATGAACCAGGAAGTCACGGCTCGATTCCTGGTCAGGGCGCATGCCCGGGTTGCAGGTTTGATCCCTGTGGGGGCCGTGCAGTAGGCAGCTGATCGATGATTCTCTCTCATTGTTAATGTTTCTCTCTCCCTCTCCCTTCGACTCTGAAATCAATAACAATATATTTAAAAAATAAAAGCTTGTACAGCAGGTGACAGAGCCTCAGAATACGTGGGGCAGGAGCTGAAGAGGCCACAACTGTGGCGGGAGACCCCCACTGCCCCCTCCACATCCACAGAACGAACAGAGCTCCGGGGCGGAAAAGCTTGGACAAGACTAGGAACGGCTTGATGGGACTGGCATTTACAGGGAGCTCCATCCAAACACGAGCGCAGGCTGCTCCAGTGCCCACGGAACAGCCACCAAATGGGCCGGATTCTGAGCCAGAAAACAGTCTAGGACGTGCAAATGGCACAGATTATGTTCTCCGACCAAAATGAAGTTACGTTAGAAATTAATAATAAGGAGAAACCAAGATGGCGGCATAGGTAAACACCAGAGATTGCTGCTCGCACAACCACTTCAAAAATACAACTAAAAGACGGAATGGACAGCACCCAGAACCACAGGAAGGCTGGCCGAGTGGAAATTCTACAACTAGAAGGAAAGAGAAAAGCATACCGAGACTCAGAGGAGGCGCAGTGCAGAAGTAAAATACAAAGGCACGGAGGTGCATGCGGAGCGGGCTGGCGGCTGAGGACACGGTTGCCTTTTTCAATCGGGAGGGAGTCTCAGGCTCTGAGCTCCAGTTCCGGACAAGTCTCTGGGGACCCAGACTCATAGGGGAGAAACGGGACTGTCTGGCATCGTTTGGAACTCGAGGGAAGCTTTCTCTAAGAGGTGCTCACAGCGATTGCCGGGACACTGAGAAGCGAGGCCTCTGAGGGCAGGACTGAGAGCAGCCATAATTGCTCGATCCACCCTGTTGATCCCCTGGGACCCCGCCGGCCCAAGCACGGAGCCTTTTGCATATGAAAGGCCTGGCCCTTTGCAATCTGAAAATTACTTAACAAACTGCAGCTGGCCCAAGGCCCCATGGCAACTTGCATTGCTTCACAGCTGGCTTCCGCTGGGTAGCCTCAGGCAGAGGCTAGATTAGCACCTCCTTAGAGATCCAGGAGCCAGTGTGCCGGTGGTCAGAGTGGGACCATCCAGATTGCAGCTCCTCGGATTCATAAAGGACACACTCAGGGGGCAGACTCAGTGACCACCAAAGCCCCACTAGAGCAAGTCTTGCCCCAGAGGGGTGTCTCCAGCACAGAAGTTCTCCCACTGCAGACACAGCTGATTCTCACAGCCAATTGGCCTGGAGGTCAATCCCTCCCAGTGTTACCTACAACAATCAAGGCTTAACTACAACAAGACTGTGCACAAAGCCCACAAGGGGGTGCACCAAGAGTGTCTACCTCAGGCAATTGGGGAGGCTGAGCCACTGGGCCCTATAGGACACTTAGCACAGAAAGCCACTCTATCGACACAGCGAAGCATAAAAAAATGCCGAGACAAAGAAACAGGACACAGATGACAGAAATGGAGAAAAGCAAACTACTGGATATAGAGTTCAAAATCACACTTTTAAGGTTTTTCAAGAATTTTCTAGAAACGTCCAATAAACTTAATGAGAACCTCAAGAAATCTAATGAGACCCTCGAGGTTGTGATAAAGGACCAACTAGAAATTAAGCATACACTGACTGAAATAAAGAATATTATACAGACTCCCAACAGCAGACCAGAGGATCACAAGAATCAAGTCAAAGATTTGAAATATGAAGAAGCAAAAAACACCCAACCGGAAAAGCAAAATGAAAAAAGAATCCAAAAATATGAAGGTAGTGTAAGGAGCCTCTGGGACAGCTTCAAGCGTACCAACATCCGAATTATAGGGATGCCAGAAGAAGAGAGAGAGCAAAAT